CAAGATATTGTCCAATGTCCCCTGGGTCCAGTGTGCTTTGGTCGGGGGGGTCTCCCTTGCCTCACTGAGAACCATTGGTATAGAAGTTGAAACATGGTAATGTTCTTTTCTGTTTGCTTTTACTTTTTCAGTGCTGAGATCAATGGCAGGGTCACCTGGGGAGAGCAGGAGGGGAAAGGAGAGGGGAGTGAGGGAAAAAGAAACATGTGGGCATCCTCTGGGGCGGGCAGTGGGCAGTGAGTGGACCAAGCAGTGCAGACAGGCGGGGTGGGCTGGGGGCCGGGGCCTGGTGGGGGCGGGGTTGGGGGGAGGCCTGCAGCCCACCGGAGCAAATGCAAAGGGATGCGGAAGCCCCGCTGTTTCCGGCCACCCGCAGCCCTTATGCTGGGCGGGGAAGTGAGGAATCTGGGTGGGGGTGGAGTGCGTGGCGCCGGCAGGGCCAGGTCAGTGGGCCGGAGACCTAGAGGAGTCTGGGGAATTTTGGTCAGGGTACCACGAAGGAGCGGTCGAGCAGGGTGGGCGGTGGTGGGGAGTGAAGCTCACGGGGCTTCGTTTACAGTGAAGGTACTGAGGGTCCTGCAGGGGGCTCGGGTGTTGAGGCAGGCGAGGATGAGTCTTTTCAGTGAGAGGGGTCATGGGTCTGAAGCCGGGGTGCTGGGGAGACCCTGGCCTGCCTCCAGGACAGGCCATCCTCAGAGCACAGCCTTCTCAGGCCCGTCCAGCCTCCTGGAGGGGATGGCAGACCTCCTGAGGCTGGCAACCCACTTGCCCCAATTTGCTGGAGGCCCTGCGTCCTGCGGCTCCGCGGGCCGGGGCCTTGGTCCCGAGGGAGGCCGCCGCAGTGGCCGCCGGCAGGGGAGGAGCCCCTGCCTCTGGAAGGGCAGCGTGCCGGTGAGGGGTGAGATGGCTCCACGCGTGAGTTGGGGGGGGCTCCACGCTCCCTTGACCCGGAATTCCACTCCCCCCAGGTGTGATGGTCGGCCCCCACGCTGACATGGCGCCGGCCTCCACCGAGGAGGGCGCAGGGGAGAAGCCCGGCCCCGCGGCCCCGGCCCCGGCGGCCCAGTACGAGTGCGGGGAGTGCGGCAAGTCCTTCCGCTGGTCCTCCCGGCTCCTGCACCACCAGCGCACACACACGGGCGAGCGGCCCTACAAGTGCCCGGACTGCCCCAAAGCCTTCAAGGGCTCGTCCGCCCTGCTGTACCACCAGCGGGGCCACACCGGCGAGCGGCCCTACCAGTGTTCCGACTGCCCCAAGGCCTTCAAGCGCTCCTCGCTGCTGCAGATCCACCGCAGCGTGCACACCGGCGTGCGGGCCTTCACCTGTGGCCAGTGCGGCCTGGCCTTCAAGTGGTCGTCGCACTACCAGTACCACCTGCGCCAGCACACGGGCGAGCGGCCCTACCCATGTCCCGACTGCCCCAAGGCCTTCAAGAACTCCTCCAGCCTGCGGCGCCACCGCCACGTGCACACGGGCGAGCGGCCCTACACCTGCGGCGCCTGCGGCAAGAGCTTCACGCAGAGCACCAACCTGCGGCAGCACCAGCGCGTGCACACGGGCGAGCGGCCCTTCCGCTGCCCGCTCTGCCCCAAGACCTTCACGCACTCCTCCAACCTGCTGCTGCATCAGCGCACCCATGGCGCCACCCCCGCCGCCGCCCCTGTGCCCCCGCAGCCGCGGGAGCCGGCCAAGGTCTTCACTGACCCCTACCTGCAGCCGCACATGCCCTCCCCTAGCCCGCCGGCCCCCCCTCCGCCGGCGCCCCCGCCCATGGTGCCTGAGCTCTTCCTGGCGGCGGCTGAGACGACGGTGGAGCTGGTGTACCGCTGCGACGGCTGCGAGCTGGGCTTCGGCAGTGAGGAACTGCTGTTGGAGCACCAGCCCTGCCCAGGGCCCGAGGCGGTGGCTGCCCCCCGGGACGCGCCCCCGGAGACCCCCAAGACCGCCCCGCCAGCTGCGGAGCCGCAGCCGCCGCCTGCCACCGCCACCCCCAGTTTCCCCTGCCTTCCCTGCGGGAAGTCCTTCCGGACGGTGGCCGGACTCTCCCGCCACCAGCACAGCCACGGGGCAGCCAGCGGGCAGGCATTCCGCTGTGGCAGCTGCGACGGTGCCTTCCCACAGCTGGCCAGTCTCCTGGCGCATCAGCAGTGTCACGTGGAGGAGGCGGCGGCCGGGCGCCCACCCCCGCAGGCCGAGGCCGCGGAGGTTACCTGCCCGCAGGAGCCGCTGGCCCCCGCGGCGCCAGCCCCACAGCCGCCTGCGCCGGCACCTGCGCCCGCCTCCACCGAGCGGCCCTACAAGTGCGGCGAGTGCGGCAAGGCCTTCAAGGGCTCGTCCGGGCTGCGCTACCACCTACGGGACCACACAGGGGAGCGACCCTACCAGTGTGGCGAGTGCGGCAAGGCCTTCAAGCGCTCCTCGCTGCTGGCCATCCACCAGCGCGTGCACACGGGCCTGCGGGCCTTCACCTGCGGCCAGTGCGGCCAGACCTTCAAGTGGTCCTCGCACTACCAGTACCACCTGCGGCTGCACACAGGCGAGCGGCCCTACGCCTGCGGAGAGTGCGGCAAGGCCTTCCGCAACACGTCGTGTCTGCGGCGCCACCGCCACGTGCACACGGGCGAGCGGCCGCACGCCTGCGGCGTCTGCGGCAAGAGTTTTGCGCAGACGTCCAACCTGCGGCAGCACCAGCGCGTGCACACAGGCGAGCGGCCCTTCCGCTGCCCGCTCTGCCCCAAGACTTTCACACACTCCTCCAACCTGCTGCTGCATCAGCGCACCCACTCAGCCGAACGCCCCTTCGCCTGCCCCATCTGCGGGCGCAGCTTCGTCATGGCGGCCTACCTGCAGCGGCACCTGAGGACGCACACCCCGGCCGCCCCCGCCGCCCCGGCCAGCGGCCCCCCGCCTCCTGCCCCGCTGGCTGCCGCCCCAGCCCCAGCAGCCACCCAAGATGTCCACGTGCTCCCCCACCTCCAGGCGACACTATCCCTAGAGGTGGCAGGGGGCCCAGCCCAGGCCCCGCCCCTGGGCCCAGCAGCCCCCAACTCCCAGACGTTCCTCCTGGTGCAGACCGCCCAGGGCCTCCAGCTCATCCCCAGCAGTGTGCAGTCCCCGCCGCCCCCGCCGCCCCCCGCCCCCGCGAAGCTCATTCTGTTGCCCTCCAGTACTGGTGGTGGGGGCGGCCGGGCAAAGCAGGGCCTGCGGGCAGTGGGGAAAACGGGGCCGGGGCCTGGGGTAGTCTGGCTGCCGGGTCCTGGGGGGCTGGGGGTGCAGGGAGGAGGCAACACAGGGGCCAGTGGGGCAGGGCAGAGCCTTATCCTTCTGCAGAATGTGGGGGGTGGGGAGGCGGGGCCGCCGGAAGTGAGTGGGGTCCAGCTCCAGCCCCTCCGGCCAACCCCAGAAGTGGCCACAGTCCAGCTGCAGCCGGCACAGGAAGTAACCACAGTCCAGCTGCAGCCGGCACAGGAAGTGACCACGGTCCAGCTCCAGCCCGCTCAGGAGGTGACCACAGTCCAGCTCCAGCCTGTGGCTGGCCAGCTGTCTAACCCCAGTGGGGGGGCGGTGACCACTGAGGCCCCCAACCTGCTGGTGGTTCAGAGTGAGGCACCCGAGGAATTGCTGGCGGGCTCTGGCCCCGGGGAGCCGGGCGAGGGCGAGGCCACCACTGGTGTGGTCCAGGATGTGCTCTTTGAGACGCTGCAGACGGACGAGGGATTGCAGAGCGTCCTGGTGCTGAGTGGGGCGGATGGGGAGCAGACCCAGCTCTGCGTGCAGGAGGTGGAGACCCTCCCCTCAGGGCTGGCCGAGCCGCCCGCCCCCGGGCCGCCAGGACAGAAACTGCTCATCATCCGCAGTGCCCCGGCCACCGAGCTTCTGGAGAACAGCAGTGTCGGGGGCGGTGCCGCCACCCTGCAGCTGCTGGCCCCGCCGGCAGCCAGCCCAGCCTCTGCCCCTGCCGGCGTCCCCGCGGCTCCCACCTCCCAGATGGTACAAGTGGTCCCCGCAGGAGCTGTGCCTGGGGGCATGGCCTCGCAGGGCCTTCCCTCCATCCAGATTGTCCAGACTCTGCCCGCGGTCCAGCTGGTGCACACTTTTTGAGTAGAGCCGCTGGTACCTCTCCCTGCCCCACACAGAGACCCTGACTTGACTCACTCCTGCCTGGGCCGGAGCGCTGCAGGTAGGGCTTGCTAATAAAGGCCAGAATCTCCTCTCCTATGTTTTGTTTTATTGGGAGGTGTGGAGGCTTATCTCTTGCCGCCGGACTCGCAGGTGACTTGCTCTGCGTCTTGAGGCCAGCCACTTCTACACGGGGTTCTGTATACCCTTAAAAAGGGGATGCACTAGTCACTGGAACGGGGAGGCCGAGGAATCTAGAATGCAGGCTTGCCACTTGTTCGCTCTAAGTCACCCACACCGCCCCTCATCTGAAAAGTGGGTGGGAGGAATGCTTGTCCCGAAGGTCACTGAGCACGGGTGGGCTGGGGCGGAAGTCCCTAGGGTGGGCGAGTTTGGGAGCCCTTGGGGCTCATGATGGTGACGCAGTCCGGCTTGAGCACGTGCGCCAATGAGAATGATTTGCTCCCATCCTCGCCCCCGCCTCCACGCCCAGGTTGCTTAGCAACCAGTGAACGTCGGGAAACGAGCGTGAACGCCCCCTCCTCGGGCCAGTAAGGACCACTCGCCGCCCCCACCCCACCGGCATCTGCCCGGTAGTCCGACAAGTCCCTTTTCTCCGTCGTTCCTTCAGCCACTACCCCATCCCCGCAGGGTCTCCGAGCCCTACGCAGCCCACCCCCGCCAGGAAGTTTAGCAACGGTTGCTAAGGCCTAGTGTGGGTATCGCCCCGCCCCCAGCGTGCGCGAGTATGACGTCACTTCCGTCGGCGACCCCTTCCCAACCCTGCCCCCCCAGCACGCACACACCTTGTCAAAGGGGCAGAGCGACGCGCAGGGGTGCTAGGAGGTCCTTGTCCTGCGGCGATTGTGGGAGAGGGGCGTGGGGAGCGCGGTCCATCCCCTGGCCGTTGCGTGGGATGTTCCCTGTCCCCAGGGCAGCCCTGAAGCCTGGGAGGGAGCATCGCGTTGCCAGGTGTTGGCGTCCGCACGGGTTTTAGGGGTAGATCGCTGAACACCCGGGGGTGGGGTGGGGGGCCGGATCCCGGGAGACGTTAGGAAAGTCGCCGGGTGGAGGAGGGCGCCTGTCCTGCCTCGGCCCTCGCTTGGGGGGCCCCGAGCGTCCTCAGTGCCCTCATTTGGGACATGCTACTGCTGGCCTCTGCCCGTGGGGCGCTTGGGGACCAGAGGTGCATTCCTGATGCTGACCTGCTTGTTTTCACCAGGTGCACGCTCGCTCCCTTGGGGGCACCGGGGCTGCCATGGCCCCCAGCCACCTGTCGGTGCGGGAGATGAGGGAAGATGAGAAGCCCCTGGTGCTGGAGATGCTGAAGGTGAGGGCCGCGGGGGGCACCTTGGGGGCTGCCTGGTGAGCGGCCTCGCCGCGGCCTGAGCCCGCCCAGAGAGCCCTGGCGAAGCAGCTTTCCCTCTGAGCCACTTCTGGCCTGGCCCCTTCTCCCTCTAGTGCCTCCTTCCTTGTCTCAGCGTAGGACGGGTTGTGGGGGACACCGCCTCCTGCCCCGCACGCTGCAGAGCAGAGCCGCAGGAGCCTGCGCCCTGTACCGAGTCCCCCCCCCCCCCCCCCGCCGCGCTCCCGGCTCCGCTCTTGCTGCCCAGGACATGCCCGTTTTCTGGCCTGGGGGCAGTGCCCCATCCCGGTCTGGCGTCATCCTCCCCTGGTGCCTCCCACCTGTCCCTCTCCTGAATCGGGTGACCCCAGAGCTCCTAAGTCACTCACTCACTCACTTTCTCTCTCTCAGTGCAAGGTGCCGGATGTGGCGTTGGCTGGGGCCTAGCGCAACCGTGGCGCCGGCTGCACCGGCTCTGCCGGCCTCTGCCACAGGCCCCGTCACAATGCCTGCCCTGCCTGGGTCCCTCCTGGACAGGGTCAGGCGCCTCTCCTAGTCCCGGGTGCCCACGGGGGCCCTAGTGGGCGGGGAGGCCAGGACCCCGGCTCTGAACTATCCTTCCTCCCCACAGGCTGGCGTGAAGGACACGGAGAACCGCGTGGCCCTCCACGCCCTGACACGGCCGCCCGCCCTGCTCCTCCTGGCAGCGGCCAGCAGCGGTCTGCGCTTTGTCCTGGCGTCCTTTGCTCTGGCCCTGCTCCTGCCCGTGTTCCTGGCCGTGGCGGCCATGAAGCTGGGCCTTCGGGCCCGGTGGGGCTCGCTGCCTCCTCCGGGCGGCCTGGGGGGGCCCTGGGTGGCGGTGTGTGGCTCAGGTGATGTGTGCGGGGTCCTGGCCCTGGCTCTGGGCTCCAGCGCTGGGGACGGGGCCCGGGTCACCCGCCTCTCAGTCTCCCGCTGGCACCGGCGGCAGGGCGTGGGCCGGCGGCTGCTGGCCTTCGCGGAGTCCCGGGTGCGCACCTGGGCAGGGGGCGCGGGGGAGCCCCGAGCCCGCCTCGTGGTCCCCGTGGCGGTGGCAGCCTGGGGCGTGGCAGGGATGTTGGAGGGGTGTGGCTACCAGGCAGAGGGGAGCTGGGGCTGCATGGGCTACACGCTGGTGAGGGAGTTCAGCAAGGACCTGTGACTCTGAGCTGAGCGCCTGTTATGTGCATGAGCGCCTACTGTGTCCGTGAGTGCCTACTGTGTGCAGGCACAGTCACATCCTCCCTGTGTGAATGCTCAGCGCCCCCGCCCCCCGGGGCCCAGAAACTCAGGCCTGCAGAGGGCAAGCGACCCGGCTGCAGTCTCAGGTCTGCCCGTAACGTGTGCACTTCTCGGAGGGGGCAGCCTGTCCACGCCCTGCCTCGGGTTTGTCTGCACTGGGGAATCTCTCCGGTCCGCCTCCCGGGCTGCAAAGTCTGCACCTTTTGTGCTCCCGGCCGAGGAGAGAGAGGCGGACAGAGGAGGGGAGGGTGAGCACGTTTGACACCCGCCACCCAAGGGTTAGGACTGGAGGCAGGGGTGCCCGGAGTGGGACGAGGCCCCTGCACATGGGGTGGGGTTTGATGCGGGCGCTGGAAGGGGATGGGTCTGGAGCCAGAGCGGGTGAGCGGAGCGTCGGGCGGCGGGGAGGTTTCTCAGAGCCGGGGCGAGCAGGGGCGCGTGCGGGGCTGCCCAGCAGCCCCTCCCTGGGGGAAGGGGGGCTGAGAGGGGCGGCTAGACCCGTCTGGTTTTTTACACCCGGTGGTTAATAAAGCCTGAAACTGCTCCGCGCCTGGCTCCCTCTCTCTGATGCCTTTTCCAGTCTGTTTCCGAACCACCCCCTTCTGTCTGGCTCCTCCTTCCCACGAGTTGACATTAATTGTTGGTGGGGGTGCTGGCCCAGGACAAGGGGAGGCGATGAGCTCACAGCAGCCCCGCGCCCAGCCGGCCCTCTGACTCACGCTCCCCATTACCGAAGTTTTCCGCCTGCCCGCTGCCTGGTGCGGAGTGTGAGCGCGCCTGAGTGGTGTGCCGCCTCCCGCCCAGGCCTCGACCTTGGCTCTGCCCATCCCCCACCCCAGCTCCCCCAGGGGACGCACAAGGTCGACCCCTTCTCCCCGAGATGGGGGGTTTTGCATGCAGCTGGGGGAATGGAGAGAGGGGTTTCTCCGTCTCCTTTCCCAATTCAGGAAGTCCTTCCTGGTGTCTGGCTGGAAGCCCTCTTGCTGCTGAGCCATGATCCCCAAGCCCAGCCACTCCTGGGGATCCAGGCTCCAGCCCCTCCGCCCTGCTCCCAGCATGTGGATTCCCCGGGTGGACAAGAGAGCAGGCAGAGGGTGGGCACCCTGCCCACCCCTCCTCCACGTGCACCTCGTCCCTTTCCCCGCAGCCTGCCGTCCCGTCCCTTAAGCATCTCTGCCCCCCCCCCCCCCCGCCGCAGCGAGCCTGGCCGGCTCTGTGTGGGTGTTTGCAGTTGGACACCCTCCCTCCCGCCCGCAACCCCCCTCCTCCCCAGGCCTCAGCCGCTGGCCAGCCCCCTCCCCGCCCCCCCTCCTGTCCCCTGCTGCCTCCTCGGCAGCCTCCCTGGCTCCTGGCAAAGCGTCCGGCTCCTGCCTGCTCCTCCCGGGTCCAGGGCGCCTCCGCAGGCGCGTCCCCCGCCCGCCCTCCGGTGGCTGCTGCCTCCTCCCCTCTCTGCTCCCATCCCCTCTCACCCACCCCTGCCCCGGACTCCGCAAACATGAGGGTCTTGGCCTGCCTCCTCGGTGAGTGGCCCCTTCTCCTTGCAGGCTCTGGGGCCTGGGCCCCACCCCCTGACCCCTGAGCTCATCCGCTTGAGGAACTCAGACTTCCGGGGCCCATTCCCAGTGCTTGGGGTGCAAGGCATCTGCCCTCCCTGCCTGACTTCCCCAGGGACCCTGCCTTCTGCACGCCCGGCCCCAGTGTCTGCGGGGCGCAGGGACCTGCTGGGCCCCCACCACCAGCCCTGACCCCTTGGGGGCCTTGACCCACCATTTGACCTCTAGCCAGGCCTCGGGGGAGCACCAGGGCCTGGTCCTGGCCCTGACCTGCGGCATCTGGGTCCCCTCCTCCTGGGCCCCGTCTCGTTTCCCTGCCAGTGGGGGTTTGCTGGCTCAGACGTGTGACGGGGTGTGTGTGTAGGGGGGCCGGGGTGGTGCTGGGGTGTTCGAGACCAGGGGCCTGCGCTGGCGAGAGGACCCCCAGGCTTGCCCCTCACTGCCTCCCACCCCTCCACCCTCCCTTCCAGCTGCTCTGATGGGGATCCAGGCCATCGGTAAGTGGCCCTGAACTGTCCCCCTGCTGGACTCGCCCGGCCCCGAGCCCATCCCGTTCCCGGCCCTGCCCTTCCGTGGGACCCCGGCCGCCCTGATCGGGCTGTGACCTCGGGCCACCTTTCCCCTCAGAGCTCGCTGGGCGGCCTGCCAGCCGCTCCCTTACAGCAGGGACCGCTGCTCCGCGGGGCGCCCGGGCCGAGGGGTCGCCAGCAGCAGCCAGGGCGCTGGCCTCCCGGTCACGCCCTGTAAGAGAGCCCCTGGCCCCAGGCCTCCGGGATGTCACGGCTTCCCCTCTGTCCCCGCAGAGCGGCTGCGCCTGGCCGACGGCCCCCACGGGTGCGCGGGCCGCCTGGAGGTGCGGCACGGCGGGCGCTGGGGCACCGTGTGCGACGACGGGTGGGACCTGCGGGACGCCGCGGTGGCCTGCCGGGAGCTGGGCTGCGGGGGGGCGCTGGCCGCACCCCGAGGCGCCTTCTTCGGGGAGGGCGCCGGGCCCGTGTGGCTGAGCGAGCTGGCCTGCCGGGGCGCCGAGGGGCAGCTGGGCCTGTGTCCCCACCGCGGGTGGAAGGCCCACGTCTGCTCCCACGAGGAGGATGCAGGCGTCGTCTGTGCAGGTGAGGACCCCGAGTCTCAGTGCAGTCGCTCGGAGGGGCCGGGGGTCCTAGCACCCCCGCTGGAGCCAGCGGTCTCCCTCCAGGACCCTGACCTACCACGGCGGGGGGTCCTGCCCGGCCCTGCGCAGAGCGCGCCCTGCCTTAGGTCCCCTGCTCCCCGCAGGTCAGCGTGTGGCCACCTCGAGGGACACAGAGGACGTGCCCTCACTCCTGGATGGAGACCGCTGGCCGGGGCTGTCTGGGGAGCTGCGCCCCAGCTCTCAGGAGCCCCCTGTGACGCAAGGTGAGCCCACCTGCCCGCGCCCTCTCCTGCTCGGCCTTGACGGGGAGGGGCCTTCCCCTCGTCCCGTGGCCCAGGGGACAGACCAATGCCCATCTCCACCCCAACCCTGAAAGTCCCCTTGGCCGCCCCCCAGGCAGGAGGAGGGATGAGTGGCTGCTGACCTTCCTCCCTGCCGTCTCCTCTTCCAGCCCCCCACCAAGTTGGGACCCCCCAGAGCAGCTCCCGGAAGAAGAGCCCGCGGCCGCCCAAGCAGGCCAAGTCCACCAGGGCCCCCTCGCTGACGGCCGGAGCCCCCCGCCAGGGTCAGGCCCGCCCGCAGATCTGGATGGGGGGAGGGGACCCAGCCCCGTCTGGACCTGCCTGGGCCCCGGGGTGCCCTCCTGCTAACCTGTGGCCCTCAGGGTTCATAATCAGGCCCGGCCCCCCGCACCCCTGAGGGAACCCAGGGGTCTGCCCGCGGCACCCAGGCACTCGGCCCCGCCCAGGTCCTTGCTCTCCCTGAACAGCCTGGCAGGCCGGCCGCCCTCAGGCCCCTGCCCCCTCCCGGGGGGGGGGGCGTTTCCATCCGCTGCCCCCCTGCCTCACACGGGCCCTGTCTGCGTCTGTCCCCGCAGAGCGGCTGCGCCTGGCCGACGGCCCCCACGGGTGCGCGGGCCGCCTGGAGGTGCGGCACGGCGGGCGCTGGGGCACCGTGTGCGACGACGGGTGGGACCTGCGGGACGCCGCGGTGGCCTGCCGGGAGCTGGGCTGCGGGGGGGCGCTGGCCGCCCCCGGCGGGGCCCGGTTCGGCCAGGGCTCTGGGCCCGTGTGGATGGACGACGTGGGGTGCGGAGGCGGGGAGCAGGCCCTGCGGGACTGTCCCCGGAGCCCCTGGGGCCGCAGCAACTGCGACCACAGCGAGGACGCAGGGCTGGTCTGCACAGGTGCGTCCTGCGCCCGAGCCTGGGCCCGCCCCGCCGCAGGGCCAGGCCTGTGGCGTCCCCCTGGGGCGCGAAGCACAGGGCGCGGGGCGGGCGGAGGCCGGAAGGACCGGGTGGGGCCCAGAGCTGGGGCGGGGGCAGCCAGGGGTTGGCACGTGGGGCCACAAGCAGGGCCCAGCTCACGGGAGGTAAGTTGTGGCTTCACAGACGGCTGTTGTCAGGGAGACGCGAACCCCACGGAGGTGCCCGGGGAGCTCGGCGCCTTAACACCATGAATTCTCAGAGTGACCTGGTTCGGGCCCTTGTGTCCGTTATGAGAAGGAGTAAGAGGAGACTTAGGGCAAGTTTCTCAGTTGCCTCTGGCCTGCTTCCCGCCCTAGATCACTGACTTGGGGTGGTCCCCCCATTGCCAGCGGGTAGGGATGGACTCCCCCGCAGCGGGGCGTCCCGGCTCCGACCGATGAATCCCCAGCCCAGACGCTCCCTAGAACCGACAAGAGGCCACTGTGCGGACTGGCAGTTCTCAGTGGGGGGCGGCCACGCTCTCCCCACCCCCAGGCCCCCGGGGGTGTCAGCAACAGCTGCAGACATTTTTGGCTGTTGCCGCTGTCGGTGCTCCGGAGCCCAGGCTGCTGGCCAGATGTGCTGGACGGTGGCCAGGACAGTCCCCTCAGACAGGGACGGTCACCCAGGGGTCACTTCAGGAGACCAGGGAGGAGGATGGCGGGGGCAGGGCAGCCGTGCCTGCTGCCCCGGGGCGGCGGGGACACAGGCGCGCCGGCCGGGCTTGGGCGCTCAGAGAGGGGCTTTCCCGGGGCCGTGCCCTCGCCCGCGGCCGCACCGTGGGCGGGCGGCGTCACCGTCCCGTCTCTGTTCGCCTCTCTCTCGCACGTGCAGGCCCGGCCCCCCGGCTGCGCCTGGCCGACGGCCCCCACGGGTGCGCGGGCCGCCTGGAGGTGTGGCACGGCGGGCGCTGGGGGTCGGTGTGTGATGACGCCTGGGACCTGCGGGACGCCGCGGTGGCCTGCCGGGAGCTGGGCTGCGGGGCCGCCCTGGCCGCCCCCGGCGGGGCCTTCTTCGGGGAGGGGGCCGGACCCATCCTCCTGGACGACCTTCGGTGTCGGGGAAACGAGACGGCCCTGCGGCTCTGCCCGTCGAGGCCCTGGGGCCAGCACGACTGCCACCACCAGGAGGACGCGGGGGCTGTGTGTGACGGTGAGGTGCCCGCGGGCGCGAGGCGGAGGCTCGAGGGGAGGGCGGGCAGTGGCGGGCTCGTGTGTTTGCCTCGCACTCGCCAGGCCCCACTCCCTCCGTTCAGGCTGCCCATGGGCCCCAGCTTCCCCGAGAAACCCCCTCCTGCATCCGTGGCCTCGGGGGGCGGCCGGGGCGGGGTGGGTGGTGACCAGCCCCGCCCCTGGCCCTGCTCCAGGTGTGCCTCTCGTGTATGTCCCTCCCACGGTCCCCGCAGTGGGCGGCAACGGCTCCGTGTCCAGGGAGGCAGCGTCCCGGCCCCCACCCCCCACAGCGCGCCCAGCCTCCAGGACGGCGGGCATTTCGCCTCCGCCTGCCTCCCCCGCTGCCCCTTGGGAGCCTGGGCCCGAAGCTGGTGAGTCCGTTCTCTCCCCTCAAAACAGGGCCTTAGCTTCTGTTTGCTCCTCTGTTCGGCCTCAGTCAGAGACTTTCACGGGGACCAGGAGAAGACAAGCATGTGCAGAGGGCACCGGGCACAGGTCTGGAGCCCAGAGGCCTCGCTCGCTTTAGCGGTCTTGAATGCATGACCCTTTCTGAAGACAGCCTCCTTCTCACCACTACTGAAGGGATTGGTCAACCGTGGCTGTTGTTTTAAAATCTAGGCTTTATTATTTTACCCAGGGACGGTGAGGCCAATAGACCGGAGAAAACTGTCCTTGCAGGGGTCGTGGTCTCCATTCCCCCAGAAGAGGGGACATGCCATGCCACACATGGCCACATGGGGGCACAGCAGGGCAGCCAGGAGGCAGAGGGAGGTGGGGAGCCGTGGGCGGAACCCTTGACTGGTTCCCGCCGGAGAAGCAGGCCGCGGTCCGGTGTGTGGTACCTGCCCTGGCGGATGAGGGGTGTGAGCCCCACAAAGGAGGTGGAGGAGTGTGGGCTCTGAGTGGGCTGGTTTGCATGCAAATGGCAGGATGCAGCCGTTTCCTATCTCTGGAGTTGGCCCCGGGGAGGGGCAGACCCTCCGGCGTCAGCAAGGCCCCGAGATGTCTAAGCCTCAGAATTACAGAAAATAAACAAGCATGATTAACACAGCTGTCTCTTCAAGGCTGGAAGAAGCGGGGACTAGTTCCCTGTTAGTGAAGGCTTCTTCCTGCTTTTTCTTTCTTTTTAAAAACATTTTATCTATTTCCAGAGAGGGGGGAAGAGAGGGAGAAAGAGAGGGAGAGAAACATCCGTGTGTGGTTGCCTCTTGCGCCACCCCCAACCGGGGACCTGGCCTGCAACCCAGGCACGTGCCCTGAGTGGGAATTGAACTGGTGACCCTTTGGTTCACGGGCCAGCGCCCAATCCACTGAGCCACACCAACCAGGGCCGTTTTAACCATTTTTTAGTGCACAGTTCAGGGTATCATGTGCCTTCAAAATGTTGTGCAGCCATCACCACCACCATCTCCAGGGACCCCAGACCCACTCCGTGCTAACTCCTCATTCCTTGTCCCCAGGCCCCAGCACCCACCACCACGCCTGGCTGTCTCTATGAATTGGGTGACACGAGGAACCTCATTTAAGTGGAATCATAGAGTGTTTGTCCTTTTGTGGCTGGTGTTGTTTAGTATAATATGCTCAAGGCGCGTCCATGTTGTGGCAGGTGTTGGAATTGCCTTCCTTTTTCACGGCTGCATAATATTCCCTTTGTACAAACAGACCACGTTTTGTCTGTGCACTTATCCGTTGATGAACTTTTAGAATGTTTCACCCTTTGGCTTGTGAGTAGTGCTGCTATGAACCTTTGCATGCCAGAGTCTATTTGAAAACCCGGTTTCGCTTTTTTGAGTAGGTTCCTAGGCGTGGAACTTCTGGGTCACATGGTAATTCTAGGTTTAGCTTTCTAAGGCACCACCGGACTGTGCCTGGCTCTTTATCCCTGTGCCTAATGCCAACAAGGGCAGAACGCTGGCCTCAGGAAATGCTCGCTGCTGGGAAGGAAGTTTGGACAGAGGGGAGGTGGGGGAGGATTCCAAGAGCGGATGGCATCCCCAAATCTCATTCTTTGGGTCTCCCCCCCGCCAGGGTCCCCCCAGCTGCGGCTGGTGGCCGGACCCAGCAGGTGCTCAGGCCGGCTGGAGGTGTGGCACGCCGGGCGCTGGGGGACAGTGTGTGACGACAGCTGGGACCTGCGGGACTCGGCTGTGGTCTGCCGGGAGCTGGGCTGCGGGGGAGCTCGGCAGCCGGACCCTGATGCTGGCCGCTTCGGCTGGGGCGCCGGCCCCATCTGGCTGGATGACGTGGGGTGTGCAGGCACCGAGGTGTCGCTCCTTGACTGCCCCGCCGCTCCCTGGGGGAAGCACAACTGCGCTCACAATGAAGACGTTGGTGTCACCTGCACTGGTGAGGAGCCCCGGCCATCCGCTGGCTCCGGGAGGGCTTCCCGGGGGAGGGGACTGCAACTAACATCCACGCTAACGTGGACTGAGCACCTGCCTCCTCAGCCCCGGCCCTGGGCCGGGCATTTTCACACACGTGTGACTGTATTCACACCTCACCGTAAGTCCCGGGTGGGGGATGATATCTTCATTTTTCTGTTGAAGACCCTGAGACACAGAGTGGCTTGCCCAAGGTCACACGGCAACTAGGTGACAGTGCAGGGGTTCTTCCTCCTCCCCCAAGAACCAGGGAAGTCTCCCGCACAGAGGGGAGCTTTGTCCTCCCCAAGACGAGAGGCCGGGGACAGAGGGGGACGGGGGCGTGGGGAGGAGCCAGCGTGGAGCCCCGCTTCGGTAAACACGGGCCTCCGGTCTGTCACTCGCTTAACGGCATTTCCTGAGTGCCAGTCACTGAGCCGGGCCCTCTGCACGCGGTGACCACGGCCTGGCCTTTGAGAAGCTCCCAGCTCACGGGGCAAAAGAGGCACTGACAAATCGCGCAAACCACTGCGACGTGTTAGAATTTGGGAGGTCCCAAGACCGTCCGCAGCTTCTGTAATATTCTGGAAGGACTCACAAAAATCAGAAACACTCATAGCCAGGGTTATGGTTAATTGCGGCAACAGGACCGAGGCTACCGTCCACCGAGGGAGCAGGCGTGTGGGGCAGGGTCCAGGAGGCGCGGGGTGCAGCCTTCTGCCATCCTTTCCTGGGGGGTCTGGCAACATGCATGCCAACCAGGGAGGCCCCCAAGCCTCCCCGCCCCTGCCATAGTGTCAGAGTTTTCATGGGAGCTCGGTCAGGCGAGCAGGCTGGCAAAGGTGACACTGTATCAGACAGGACGTTCCAGGGGCTTCAGGTCGCCCCCAGAAGCCAGGGGCCAAGGCCAGACCTTCCTTTGGGCAAAGTTAACCCTTCACTGCACACAGTGCTAATCCGAAAGACGTGGGGTGAGTAAGTGGCAGCTGGAAAGACGGCGTCAACCACTGGCCTTGAGCTGAGGTGCTCTCCCTGTCCTCCCGAGGGCCACAGGAGCCACAGAAGGGTTTTAGGCCATGCAGTGACCCGTCAGGCCTGGTGCCGCTCTCGTGGTTGGTGACAGCTGGACGGGGAGGAGGGGGGCCCACCAGAAGGTACTGGAAGAAAGAGACGGGGGACGGAAGGACGGGCCGGGTGCGGAAAGTGAGGGGCGTAGGCCAGTCCCATCATGAGCGCGATGCCCAGGGGGCGGGGACGGCGTCGGGCTCGGCCGGCCACTGCGCCCAGGTCAGGCCCATGCCTGGCTCACGGTGGGTGCTCCAGAGATACGGTGACAAGAGTGAATTGGATGAACGGGGGCTCGGTGACTGACTGGGGTGGGGGAGATGAGAGGAAGGCGGGGCGAGGATGGGTGACCTCGGCGCTATGGCGTCTGCCACCGTCTGTCTTCCGTTCCGCCTTCCAGGGACTGCCGGCGTGGACTCCATCTCAGACCCCTTCAGCTGGCGCTGGTTCCCCGGCCTGGGCCGAGACCCAGATGCCTGGCTCCCCGAGGAGCTGGCCACCAAGCCCTCTGCAAGGCTGACCCCCAGCGTTCCTGAGAAAACCACCAAGGCCCCCGGGAAGATGCCCAAGAGCACTAAGAAATGGGTGGCCAAGCACACAAAGAGGCCGACCACTGAGGCCCCCGGGACGCCCACCCCTAAACAGTCCAGGGTCCCGGGCGCCCAGGGTCCCCCAGAACTGACCTCCCAGACCACCGCAGCCATGACCTCCGGGGCCCCCCATGGCCCGACCTCACGCACCACCACAGCGCCAAACCCCTGGCCCCCCTGGGAACGAACCTCGAAGACTGTGACAATGCCAACCACTCAAGATCCACAAGAGATGACCTCTGAGGCCACAGCCATCAAGCGAACGCCTCCATCCTCTGCAGAGCCATCAGCCAAGACCCCAGGAGAAGGTTCTCCAGAGTCATCCAAAGACCCAGCACCCTCCCCGCCTGGGGGCACCCCTGGGGGGTCAGGTGAGCGGAGGGCACGCGAAGGGGTGCGGCTGACCTAAGGGGACCCCTCCTGACCAAGGCCTTCCACTCCAGGCCCCTTCCGAGTTCGTCTGGCCGACGGGCCCAACCGCTGTGCTGGCCGGCTCGAGGTGTGGCATGCTGGACGCTGGGGGACAGTGTGCGATGACAACTGGGACCTGCGGGACAGCACCGTGGCCTGCTGGGAGCTGGGCTGTGGACGTGTCCGGCCCCGCGTGGGCAAAACCCACTACGGCCCTGGGACCGGGCCCATCTGGCTGGATGATGTGCGCTGCAAAGGGACCGAGACCTCGCTGAGCGACTGCCCTTCCGGGGCGTGGGGACAGCACAACTGTGACCACGAGGAGGACGTGGGGCTGACCTGCACTGGTACTTGGGACGGTGGGGTGTGGGGGACACAGAGTCAGGGTGCCGGGGGTCGGGGGCCCCAGACGCTCTCCAGGAGATTCTGGAAGGGGAGTTTGAAGAGCAGCCGGGACGTCCCAGGCCAGTCCGGGCTCAGACCTCTTCCAATGTCTTCCAAGGCCACGCTGATGAGGAGGACTATCCCCCCTGGACCTGGGACCCCACCTCGGGAGAGGACCTGACCCAAGGGACCACTGCTGCAGGGGCACCTGGACACACTGTCTCCTGGGGCAGCACCCGGAGCCCCAGGGCCCCCTCCCCAGCAATGAGGCGCCTTCCAGGCCCAGGTGAGGAGCACGGCCAGGTGGGGCGGGGCCTCCAGGCACCAGCTCCAGGGTTTCCAGAAAGACCCTCCTAGATGAGCGGGTCTGGGTCTCCGAGACTGCGGGCATGTTTTCTCCGCTCCAGAACCTAAAACCCTTCCCTCCTGGGGCTTGACCAGAACACCCCTCCAGAGGCTGGAAGAGGAGACCCCCGTGTGTCTCCGAGAACAGATCCGGCTGCGCCCAGCCGAGCCCGCGTCCTCCCCCTAACCCGCCAGGGCCTCTGGGGTTCCGCCGCGATACCCAGAGCCGGACCCCACAGCCGGCGCCGCCCTGTCGCCACGTTGTCACCCCGACCCGGGCCCCCTCAAATCCTTTCAGGAAGTCCGTGCTCTGGTCTGGGTGGGACTGTGGCTCAGAGGTGGGGTGGGGACACCTGGGTGGAGGGCTCTGTCCGCAGCCTGACCTCTCCCTCTGGCCAGCCCACACCCTCTCTCCCCTGTGTCTGCGCTACTTTGACACCTTCCGTCTCGGCTGCCACACTGGGGCTGTCACCTGCCTAAACCCCGTGTGGTCACCACCTGCGAATTCTCTCCACTTTCTCTGCTCGTCCTCCTGTCCCTGTGTGCGCGCCCGTAGGTGTGTGCACCTGCGCATGCGCGAGATCCACGTTCCCGCCCACCTTTGTGCTCGGGTCCACGGCTGTTACTTCCGTTTCCGGTACTCACCATCCGTTTCTGTGTCCCACCACCTGTCCCCTGAAATGCTCCCTCCTCAGGGTCCCACCTTCCTCCCTCTCGCTCTCAGCCCACTCCCCTTTCCTTTAACCCCCTTCTCCAAGCCTCAGGACCACTTTGTCCCCTGTCGCCCCCTCACTCCCTCACTCCCTGTTCCTCACACGTGGCTTCTCCCCCGGTTCCCTCAGGCTCTCAGGCATCGCCATTTCTGCCCCTTCTAGTCTGTCGCACCAAATATGCCCCTGCGAGCTCTCCATTTCTTCATGCATCTCCCACACTCTCCCTCCCTACCCCCCACAATGCCCTGCCTCTGCCCCTGTCCCCTGCCACTTGCCCCTCCTTCAGTCCTCAGAGACTCGCCTCCTCGGGTCCCCTCAGGACGGCCACGCCCCTCGTTCCCTTTCCCTCCTTTTCCACGAGCTCAGCACGCATGCGTACACCGCTGAGGGGCGGGGCACAGTATAGAAGGGTGGGAGGAGCCAGCGTCAATCAGCCTCCCGTCTTGTGGAGTCACCGGCACGCTGCGCCTCTGATTGGCTGGCTGGTCCACGCCAGAGGCAATAAAAGCCAGAAGAAGGTTGTCCAGGTCCCAGAGGTAGCTGCCAGTCTCATGGCTGCAGGCCCAGTGGGGCAAGGAGAAGAGGGGTGGGCACCAGGGCCTCCACGATTTGAGGGCACCCAAGTTGTGAGTTAGGGTGTAATCTGCCAAGTTTCTAGAGGTGATTCTCCTCGGTGCATTGTAGTCAGGATTCCAGAGCCTTTGTTCGCTGCCTTCCGGCTCTGCCTCCCTATCCCGTAGCGCCCCCTCGTGGCGGAGATTGTCATGCCGGGCGCGGGCAGCTGCAGAGGAGGCCAGTTCCCGCCCTGAATGGAGAGGGTCCCTTCTTGGTGCGAGAGAAGGCAATGCATGAGCAGAGATCCGTCCAGAACTACACACTGCGCAGGGGAAATCCTCAGGAGAGTCACAAACACAACCTCAGTAATGGGAAGACTTGGAGGGAGGGGCGGGGGTGGTATGTGGGGAGAAACCACAGACATGAATTCCTATCCTCACTAGCAAGGTGACCTTGAAAAATATGACTGCCTCTTCGAAGCTGTTTCTTCCTCTGGAGGGGGGAGAAAAACAGCTCCAGGACTCCTGTCTGGAGCCTAGGAGAGCTCGCTTACTCTGCGCTACGCATGCCTGTTCCAACAACTGGGCGACAGAGGTCTTATTGTTACCGCGCCGCACTTGAGATCATTTTAAATGGTTTCACACACATTTTGCTCATTGGGTTGGCAAAGATTCCCGAGTTACTGGAGTAATGACAGACGTGAGTTCTGGAGTCCAACTCCCTGGGGTTCAGCGGTGGCTCCACCGGGATTAGAACTAGCTGGGTGACCTTAAGTCATGGAGCAAAATGTGTGTGAAATTGTCAAAAACCACAAACGATTACTCGAGTTATTTACCCACAATGAACAACAGCTGCAGGCTCCCTGGGAGGGAGTGACTGTTTTAGTTGAGCAATAGGGGAGACCTCACAGAGGGGGTGGCATGACCTGCACCCGCGACCCCAAGGGGGAGGGCATCCTCGGGGCAGCAAAGGCTGCAGCCGAGACGGTGGCACTGCCGGTCCAGGACGTGGCCATCTCCCCGAGACTGTCAGCGCTACCGTGCATTCAACTGTGTCCATTTCTATGGCGGCCATAACACCGCCACACATTCCGTGGCTTAAGACAACACTATCTTACCTTGCAGTTCCGCGGGTCAGAGGGCCAACAGACGCCTCAGGGGCTGCGTTCCCTCAGAAGGCACCAGGGGAGAATCAGCTCCCTTGCCTTCTCCTGCTCCCAGAGGCCACCACGTTCCTTAGTTTGTGGCCCCTTCATCTTCCTCCAGAGCCAGCAACTTGCATGCGTTTGACCCTTCTTTGTCTTCACCTCTTTCTCTGTCGCTACGGCTGGGGAAAGTTCTCCAACGTTGAGGATTTGGGTGATTATATCGGGCCCCCGTTGGTTTAATACAGGATAATCTGTTCATCTCGAGGTTGGCCCTGCTAGTCACATCTGCAAAGTCCCTTTTGCCACCTAAGGTCACGTACTCACGACTTTGGGGAGCATTATTCTGTGTGCCTCAGGATCTGAGCTGTAGAGACTCAGCAGAGACTTTTTACGTGTTCGTTGAATGAATGAGAGACCAGCGTCGATCTATACAGCGCATGCAGGAGATGAGGCTGGAGGCTTGCCCAGCTTGGAATGTCGTTTTCCTTTTTCCGTAAAGCAGCATGTCGTGAGGCTTCCTGCACGGTGGAATTTGGAGACGCAGACACTGATCCGTGTGTCAAGGGTCTGCGGCGTGGCAGGCATGGGTGCTCATCCCTGGGGACATAGCAGTGGCAAGTAGAGCAAGGGAGGGGACAGGGAGGCTGAGTTAAAATTTAAACTTGGGTGGTCGACAGATGACTCACCAAGGAAGTGCCATTTAAGTGACCACATCAGGGAGGAGACGGAGAAAACCACGCAGATATCTGTTTGGAGGGCATTCCATCCAGAGGGAACAGCATGTGCGAGGCAGTGAGGCGGGCGTGCATTTAGCTGGTTCAAGAAACAGCGACGAGGTCAATGGGGCTGAGGTAGAATGGTTGATGGGGGTGGTGGCCAGAGAAGAGATCGGTGGTCCGTTGGCTGGGAGTGGGAGCCTGGGGGGAGCATTCCAGGCAGAGGGAGCAGCATGTGCAAAGGCCCTGAGGTGGCAGCTTGGGAGACCAGCGTGGCTGGAGTGGAGCGAGCCAGGCAGGGGGCAGTGATAGGTGGTGGGGCCGGAGTCCCGTTGTCATTGTATGTGCAAGTGACAGGCCTTGGCGGAGCATTGCAAGCCAGGAAGCACATGACCACACGCGCATTTGCAAAGCAGTGACTCGGGATGACGCATGGGGAACGCGTGCAGGGAGACCAGGAGGTCTTTGGAGAGGCGACAGTGGCCTTGACCGGGGTGAAGCGCTCGTGTCCAAGCTGTATCCGGGGGTTGAGCTGATGGGGTCTGGCGGTGGGGTGAGGAGAGGGAGGCAGGGGACGGGGTCCTGCCTCCCCCTGGGTGGGGAGCGCTGCAGGGCGCGCGCAGGCTCCGCGGCGGGAGTAGGAACAGGTGCAGGGGCCGTGACGTGTGGCACACCCGGACGGAGACGTGAGATGTTAGACACGCAGTCCTGGAGCCTGCGGGCACCTGGGCAGCCGCCGTAAATTGGCGGGATGGAACTTGAAGCTGTGGGAATGGACGAGGCCAGGCAGATAGAGGGCTGTGTCTCATGTTGCTCCCACGCTCGGCGGGGAAGGCGCGGTGACTCATGAACTCGGGATATCACTGTTTGTTATGGATGCGTGAGGTCATAGGGAGGGGAGGAGCCCCAGGCTGTGCCAAGGCGCATTTAGAGGTCAGAGGGTGGTAACAGAAACAGTTGCTAACGGTCACAGCTTACTCTTCGTGTGCAAGGTGCCATCTAAGTGGCTTAATGCACTTGCTCCCCATGGAAACTTGCGATACAAGTACTGTCCTCAGCCCCATTTTACAGATAAGGAAATCGAGGTACAGAGAGGTCAGGACGGCAAAGGATGACCGAGGCAGGGAAGGTGCGTGCGATGGAATCGGTTCTGAGGAAGCAGGGGCAACAGAACAGGGCGCCACCGCGTGGAGGGTGAGTGAAAGCTCACCAGGGAAGGCGTGGGGTGAGGCTCGGGACGTCTGCACCCAGAGGGAGCGAGGTCCCCAGTTACAACCGGGTGCAGCTGCCCGGGTCTGAAGCTTGATGTTGCCGCTTAGCTGTGTGACCTTGGGAAAACTCCTTGCCCTCTATGGGCTTCAGTCTGGTGGTCTGTAGCGAAATCGCGTCTCCTCCACCCACCCTCACCCCATGAGACTGCCAAATGGCGGTGTCTGATGGCGCCAAGGATGTGGGGTGAAGTGGGGCAAGGTCACCCGCACCCTCTTGGGAGGCCGTTCGCCTCCCGCAGCAATCGCGCAATCGTGTGTTGAAGAATTCTCGCCCGCGCCCGAGGACAAGGACTGGGGTGCAAGGAGCTCCCTGGTGCCATATTTGTGACAGCGAATCTTTGGCCACAGCCCAACTCCCGTCAACAGGGGCGTAGCTAAATCAGCGCTTGTGTGTTCTGATGGCAGAGTATTACCGAGAGGTTAAAATAAAAGAACGGGAGGTCCAGGTATTTCATTCGAAGAACAGTTTACCATGTGCCAGGCCCTGGGACCCCATGGAGAACAGGGCAAGGTGGTCCCCAATTTTACAGGAAGCTGAGTCACGGAGAACTGAAGCCATGCGCTCACACAGCTAGGAAGGGGCCCAGCCAAAAGCAAGCGGCAGGAGGGCGTCTGCGGTGCACACACGAGCGCAGTCTGAGATCGGCCGAGGGAGCCACGGCGCGGAGAGGCCCCATGGAGTCCTACGTCTGTACTTAAGGGGCAAAGACATGCTTGGGCATAAGCTAAGTTTCGGGCAGTGGTTTCCCCGGTGAAGGAAAGGGGTATAATTTGCGCTCACAAGGGCCAAAATCACTATGCCCTGCTGCTTTTGAAGAAATGTATATTTTATATATTTACTTATAGAATTTATTTATTTATTTTTAGAGAGAGGGGAAGGGAGGGAGAAAGAGAAGGAGAGAAACATTCATGTGTGGTTGCCTCTTGTGCGCCCCCTGCTGGGGACCTGCCCCGCAACCCAGACCTGTGCCCTGACTGGGAATCTCGAACCAGCGACCCTTTGGTTCGCAGGCCAGTGCTCAATCCACTGAGCCACACCAGCCAGGGCAGAAATGTGTATTTTAAGGAGTAAAATTCACACGCTATGGACCCTGAGCCGGTGGCCCTGTGTCTGAGCCTGCCGCGAGTGCACAGACCCAGGAGTGTGCCCGCAGCTGCTGGGCCGACATTGTAACAGGAAGACAGCTTTAACTTGTGTCGTAAAACCCAGCATCTTGAGAAGACATCTTCAGTGATTCACCACCAATGGCTTTTCCCCCAAAAACTTTTCCCCATTTTTAATTTTTCAGGTCATCGTGCTGCTAATGTTTTCTTTTTTAATCCTCACCTGAGGATATGTTTATCGACTTGAGAGAGGGAGGAAGCAAGAGAGAGAGAGGGCAGGACGGGGAGAAAGAGAGAGAGGGAGAGAGATGGAAGAGAAACATTGATCAGTTGCCTCTTGTACGTGCTCTGACTAGGGATCGAACCCACAACCTAGGTATGGGCCGTGGCTGGGAATCGAACCCACAGCTCTTTTGATGTGCGGGACAGCGCTCCAACCAACTGACCCACCCAGCTAGGGCACCGCTAATGGTTTTTTTAAATTTCTAATGAGTACGGCCATCGGGTGGGATTTCACAGCTGTCCCCTTGCAGCGCTTAACAGGCACAGGGAAGGCACTTCGCTAAGAGCAGTTAACAACATGCTCTTACTGAGGTGCCCGCTGTGCTGGGCGTCACAGAGAAAACTGGCCCTTGTTCTCACCGTGTCATGTCTCATCGGGCGACAGAGCAAGGGACGTCCGCCGTGGGGACGGCTGGCCCCGGAGCCCACGGGAGCACAGCCAGCACCCCTGGTGTCTCAGACACCGCTGTCCTGCCTGGTTTGTGTGCAGAGTGGGGAGGTGTCTTCACGGGCTCTCGGGGACAGAAGACGGGGGAAGGAGTTGCGGGCGGGCTAACGGAGCAGGCGAAAGCGAGAGGTGCGGAAGGGCTGGGTGTGAGCAGAGCGAGGGGAGGAGGAGGCGTGGTGAGAGCGGGCGCGGCGGAGGTGGGCGGCACTGGGCGCTGGAAGTCGGTCAATTGTCAGATACGCAAGTTATCTCTCAGCAGAGCTGCTGTTAAGTTTTCAACCAAGCAAGAGGACTGAGTTATCTTCCTATTCTCCCTGTATAAAATGGTATATGTAATATATACATATTACGGAAGGATAAGTTCTAGAAAGTTGTTAGGTAGAGATGTCCATGAGTATTCAGCCAAAAAACGTAGGGAAAATAATATTATGGAACTATTCCAGGTAGTTTAGTAATAAAGATATCATTGGGTTGTTTTCCTGGGGGAAAAATGTTCTAAATGGGCCGCTTTCTTCCCAGTTTCTGTTGTTGATCGCCGAAACATCCCACCTGCGTCGCCAAGGTGGCTGCAAGGTCAGCAAGGAGATTTGGGTGATGGTCCAGTTGGACCCACTGAGGCCTGAGCGGGGGCCCAGTGGGAGCAGAGGGTCAAGATCAAGGGCAAGGGACATCCAGTGATCCGATCTCTCGCCAGGTGCTGAGGATGGGCACGAGCTTTCCCAGACAGCGGAAATGCCTTCAGGAGGGGCCGTGGCCAAGCGGACCCGCCCCACGGGCGCGCCTGGACCCGCTCTTACCGCCGGCACCTCCAGGAGCCCCGGCGATCCCTCGCCAGCTCCAAGGGTCCGTGGAGACGCAGGTAAGGCTCGCGGCTGGGGCGAGGGGACAAGGACGTTCGCGTGGCGGGCTAGAGAGACGATGCACTCCAAATTCCCCACTGGCGACCCACGTCTTACCCCAGGAAGACCGAGCAGAAATGTGCCCTGATACTTACAGGGCGGTACTGTCCACAGGCGTGGCCCTCCACGGGGGGCAACCGGCAGGCGATCTCCGAAGATGGTTTGGAATGTCACGACCGGGAACCTAGTGCGGGGCGGGGCGGGGCGGGGGGGGGAGCCCAGGGATGTTGTGACACGACCCACAGTCGCAGGGCAGCCCCCCACTGAGCAAAGAATCGTCCAGTCTCAAACGTCAGCAGCACTGAGGTTCAGAAACCCTAGCCTGTGCTCTGCAGGGCACTCGGACAAGCCCATGGGAAAGTGGGTAAAAGTAAGGAACAGGTTATTCCCAGAAGCGGAAGCCCAAATGGCCAACGAGAACAGGAGACACGCTCACCCTCACGAACAGTCAGAAGAGTCAAAACAATGCCAAGCGGGGGAAAACGTGAGAGATAATACCGTGCGTGGGTGAGGATGTGGGGAGACGGGCCCTCCCGCTGGGTGGAGCTGCTTGATAGAAGCCAATCCAGCAGTACTGAGTGAAGTTAAAGACAATGATGAATTGTGACTCAGCAATCCTGCTGTTACAGAGAAACCCTTGCCCGAGCCTGCGGGGAGGCGTACATGGGCAGGTTCCTTGGCATCTCGCAAGATCAGGGAGTTGGAGGCAAGCTAAGTGCCCAACAGTCGGGGAACGGCTAAGGGACAGGCCGTGGGACTCTACGCAACAGCTCGCGCAGTGACCAGCTGTATATACACGGCAGCGTGGATAGGCATTAACAACATTTGAGGGAAGAATGAGGTTTCTCACAGCAGGCGATTTGCAAATTCACACACGCAAAAGCACACACACACATGTACTAACATAAATACATATGTGCCCCTGGCTGGTGTAGCTCAGTTGGTTGGAACATCCTCCTGTAAAACGAAAAGTCATGGATTTGACCCCCAGTCAGGGCACATATCTGGGCTGCGTGTTTCCGTCCCTGGTCAGGGAACGTAAGGGAGGCAGCTGATTGACATTTTTCTCTCCCTCCCTTCCCCTCTCTCTAAAAATCAATGAGCATGTCCTAGGTGAGGATGACAAGGAAAACAAAAAAAAAAGGAGTGTTTGGAAAAAATAACAAAACAGGAGGAGACATTGTCGGGGCTGTCGGTGACAACATACAGAGCAGCATGATGAGCTTAGCTCTCTGACAAATTAAAAACCGCCACCGCTCTGGGTATCTGAACCCTGACAGTGTCTAAGCAAGCTGCGCTTCTCGAAATAATTAAAAACGGCCAAGATTTATCGAGCAATATGCTACGTGTCAGGCACTATTCTAAGCACTCTCTACACTTTCTTCCTTTCATCCTTGTAACCCTTTCTTCCTCGTCCCCATGGAGATGCTGTAATTGTGCCCATTTCACAGCTGAGAGAAATGGAGGCACAGATGTTCATGATTGACAGTGTAGATAATCACGAGTGCGCTTAATATGCTCCAGGCATTGTGCTAAGTGCTCAGCACACACACACAGTCTCCCCGAATCCTAATGACAATTCCATGTGGAAGGTTCGAGAATCACCCACGGTTTATGGATGGGGAAGAAACTGAGATTCCAGGCAGTTAAGTAACTTGCCCCCAGTCACCCAGCTGGGCTTTCACCCAGGCAGCCTGGTCGGAGGCCAAGCTCCTTCCTCAGCTGCTTCTCCGAATCTGCAGGCAGATGGCAGGGGGGCGGGGCGTACCTCAAGGCCTACAGAACAAGTGGAAGCTACCCTACAGCTACCAACGTGGGTGGCGATGTAAACTTAAATGGGTCAAAAATGTGAGACAGAGCCCTGGCTGGGCAGTGTAGTTGGAGGGTCCCCCAGTGCACCAAAAAGTTGCAGGTTCAATTCCTGGTCAGGGCACATACCCAGGTTGTGGGTTCAGTCCCTGACTGGGACGTATACGGGATGCAACCGATAGATGGCTCTCTCTCACGTCGATCTCTCTCTCTTTCTCATATCATATAAACATAACCTCCCATGAGGATTTTTTAAAAATGTGAAAAAGGCCCTGGCTGGTGTGGCTCAGTGGATGGAGCACCGGCCTGCGAACCAGAGGGTCGCTGGTCGGATGCCCAGTCAGGGCACAGGCCTGGGTTGCAGGCCAGGTCCCCAGTAGGGGGCACATGAGAGGCAATCACACATCAATGGATCTCTCCCTGTCTTTCTCCTTCCCTTCCCTTCTGTCTAAAAATAAAAAAATAAATAGATATAAAAATGTGAAAAAGAAAACAGTTTCTTAGTGGAACTAGGCACATTTTCAGTAACCCCATGTGACCACGCAGGACAGCACAGAACACTCCTGTCACTGAGAAAGTGATACTTAATGGCCTAGACTCTGAGTACAAAGCACCTGGGTTCAAATCTTGTCCTTTGTGAACCTTGTGTGTGCGCGTGCGCATCGCAGGTGCATGACTTTGGGTAAGTGACCTACCTTCTTGGCCTGATTTTCCTCATCTGTAAAAAGGGTTAAAATTCACACTGACCTGGAAAAAGGGACTTCTCATTCGGGCCCACAATTTAGGGGGCGCTCAAACCCTCAGTAATCAAGGTAAATAAAATCTTTAAAAATATATATATATATATTTTTATTTAGTTTTAGAGAGGGGAAGGGAAGGAGAAAGAGAGAGAGAGAGAGAGAGAGAGAGAGAGAGAGAGAGAGAAACATCGATGTGCAAGAGAAACATCGATAGGTTGCCTCTCAGGCTGCCAAGCCCAAGCCCAGGCGGCGGCCAGGTCTGTGGGGCCACGCCCAGCCCACGGAGCCACACCAGTCAGGGCAAGAAAAACAATCTGAATGCAGTCGCTTTAAAAATGAAAGTTAATGCAAAAATAAGCCACAGTGAACTACGTATCAAAATTTTAAATAAAGGACAGGATCCGACCTACCTCACCAGACTGCCCCTGATCTCGCCTCTGTCTTGGGTTGAAATTGTAACTTTTTGTTCATTGTGGATTTTGCATTCGTTTTGCTGGGTTTAAATATGACATACAAATATTGGTCTCGATTACTGAGGTGACCCTTCGGAACCCTCCTGCACCACCCCTCCCGGCGGCATCTCTCACACTGCCCCGCGCCCCGCCCGTTTATCACCACCTCATCCTCCTCCGCCCTCCCCGACCCCATCCTGCCCTGCACCCCTCTACACCCCCACATTCCCCAACTTTCCCGAATTCGCGCATTTCTCGCATGCTCCCGCACCCCCTCGTCCCCCACCGACGATCCGGCATCCTCCCGCATCCATTACCCCGCGCCCCCCCGCCCCGCCCCCAGCCCGCGGCCCCCGATCACCCATCCCAGCATCCACCATCAGTGAGGGCCGCCAGGTGGCGCCTGGAGACGTCGGAGGAGGCGGGACGTGGAGAGCAATGGGGCGGGGTGAAGTCTGCCGGCGACCGATGACATCACGAGGCTCTGCATCTTCCTATTGGCCGTTCCGCCCCTGGGCGGGGTGGGCCGTGGGGTGGGCGGGGCAGGCTGACCTCAGCGGTCCATCTTTCCTTCTCCAGGTTCTGGGAGGAAACCGTGGCCCGGTCCGCGGCTGCTACGGCCCACAGAGGCTCGGACCGCGCCCCCCGCCCCTTCTCCGGGCCCACCACGGACCTCCCATTCGGCGCCACAGCTCATCCCCGACGCAGCGTCGCCTTCGACGGAGGTGACCTCGCCCCCTCCAGACACTTTGCCACCCAGCCCAGACCTGGCCTCCTGGAGGGACTCTGACCTCGCCCAGACAACTTCTGGCCTTACGTTGTCCACCCTTGATGCCACCGTGGTTCCAGCGCTGACCCCTGAGCTTTCACCCACCCCACCGCCCACCTTGCCCAAAGAACTGACCTCTGACCCCTCCGCACCCGCAGTTGTGACTCGTCTTTCCCCGAGTTCAGAGCTGACCCCAGAATCTGACACAGCCCCGGGCTGGGACACCGCTCCACACCCCAGCACAGTCCCAGAACCTTCCAGATCCCCAGACCCCTCCCCAAGCCCTCCCCCCGCCACCACGCCTCCCTCTACGACGGCGTCCCACCCCACCATGACCCTTAACGCTACCACGACCCCTCACCCCACCACGACCCCTCACCCCTCCACGACCCCTCACCCCTCCACAACCCCTCGCCCCGCCACGACCCCTCGCCCCGCCACAGCGTCTCACCCATCGACACCTTTCCCCGCCATGATCCCGCCCCCCACCCCTCATCCCACCACAACTGCTCAACTCACAACCCCTAAACCCATTACAGTCCCTGACCCCGTCATGACCTCTCACCCCACCACGACCCCTCACTCTACTACAGCTACTCCCCTCACCTTGACTCCTGACCTCACCTCAACCCCTGCGATCACTACTAAGTCGCTCCTACCATCCTTGGAAGCAGGACTTCCCTTTCCCACTCCAGAACCCATAGTCAAGCCCAGCCTGCGCCCCCGGTTCACCTTCATGAGGGCCCCGCCCCCCTCCACACCCCATACTTCGAGCCCAGAGTCCTCTTCAGCCTCAGAGTCCAGCCCCTCCTGGGCTTCTCCAGCCCCAACCGCGGACACACCGTCCACCGAGGACTTCACAGCACCCAGAAGCCAGAGCCCCAAACTGACCCCTCCACGTCCTCCGACGCCGCACTCAGCCTCCGACCCCACCACCGAGCCCCCCGACCTCCCCCAGCCCCCCACAGCCCATCCCATAGATCAGCCTCCTCCCGACAGGCTCAGTCCAGGGCCCACCTCCGGTCAGAGCCCAGGCCCCGTTGGCCCGTGTGTGGCCCCAGAGCCCCCGGTAAGGGTCATGGCTTGTGAGCCGCCTGCCCTGGTAGAGCTGGTGGCCGCCGTGAGGGACGTGGGTCGCCAGCTGCAGAGGCTGACGCAGGCCCTGGAGCGGGAGCGGCAGGAGCGCCACGCTCTGGGACTGGGGCTGACGCAGCTGGTGGAGGCTGCCCAGGGGCTGGGGCAGCTGAGCGAGGTTGTGAGGAGACTGGCCGAGGCGGCCTGGCCCCCCAGCACGCCGGCGCCCACCACCGCCGCCCCCGAGGAGGAAGAGAGGCCGCTGAGGGGAGACGTGTGACCCCACCTGGGACTCGAGGGGGCTTACGACCCTCACAACCAAAGAAGGAGAACCAAAGTGTCACATTAAAAACAAGAGGTGGATGACCTTTCTGGGGGACTAGAGGAACCCAGGAGAGATGGAATCGCAAGACTGATCTGTGTGTGACTCTCGCAGATACTGTGCCCGGTGGGGAGATGCTGTGATTCTGGGGGTGAAGATGGTGCCCGTGAGGATGGTGGTGGCGGTGGCGGTGGGCGTGATGGTGGCTCTGAGGGTGGTCATGTGACGAAGATGGCCATGGTGGCCGTGGCAGCGATGGTGGTGAGGATGGCTGGTGGTGAGGATGGTGGCGGTGTCGACGGGGGTGATGAAGATGAACGAACGCGGTCCTGGCGGCGCCGGAGATGGGCGGGGAGCGCGCGGAGGAAGCCCCCCGAGGGCAGAAACCTTTGTCTTGTTTACAGGCGTAAATGAGAGGAGGAACAAGCTGGCCTGGCCGCAGGCCCGCGCCCTGGGAATCTGTCGCACGCCTGAGTGCATAATAATAACAGCGGTGACTAACCTTCGCGGGGTCGCTTCCATGTGTGGGGTCATCCTCTCTTCTGTGAACACCTGCTGAGGAGGGTACTGTTCCGGCAGCTCAGCAGAGAGGTGTGAACTTGGGAGCCTGAATGCCTCCGTTAGAGTCCCTGTGGGTGTGAACCTGAGCCGCTTACTTAACTGCTTGGTCTGAGTTTCCCCGGCTACGGAGGGGATAACCTTGGGTTTACTGCGTGAGGCGCTGGTGAGCTAATAGGCGTGCGAGAGCGCCTGGCACGGCGCGGGCTCTGGGTGCGCGCCCATCGCCCATCCTGTGAGGGCGGTATCGTATTCGGCCCCATCTCACGGCTCAGGTTGCTCCGGGAACATCAGTACCTGGGTTGGTCTGACCCAGGGCCCTTGCTCGCAAGAGAGTTGTTGCCCGAGTCCACCTCTCCCGGGTTCAAGGCCGCGTCCTGGCTGTGGGACTCCGGCATCTCCTTTACTTTCTCTGAGCCTCTGTTTTGTTTTTCCCTGTCCAATGGGGCTGTGCTAGTTCCAGCCTCCTGCGGTGACTGTGCGGATTGGATGAGTTAGTGTGCGGGAGGACTGGGCTCTGCGTGTGGCGTGTGCTCAGTGACCCAGTGTGACCGCGGCTGTGCTTCTCTGTGCCTGACACAGCGCGGGCCTTCAATGCCTGCGTCTTCCCCGCAGCCCTCCAAGGGACGCCGGGACTTGGTTCCACTTCGGGAGGAAACAGAGGGCCACCCCTTGCCTCAGGCCACACAGCAGAATGGAAACAGCTCCAGGATAACCGATGCCGATCCCCGGCTTTGACCTTGGCCTGGGGTCCGAGGGACAGAGTTCTGTGATGGCCCGTTTCTGGGCGGGGCCCTTCCCCTCTCTGCACCCCAGCCTGCAGACTAGGGACTGATTTGGGAGACCCCCAGCTCTGCTCCCGGCCTCTGTAGCCTCAGGCAGGAATCCGTTCCCTCTCCCTCCAGCCTCCAGCGCGAGCCTGGCTTGCAGGTCTCGGAAGGTCAGGCTGCTGGCGCCCCCGCGGTCCTGCAAAGGCCAGCAGGGTCCAGTTACCCGTGGGGGGGGGATAATGACCGGGGGTCCTGATAGATGGACTGTCGGCCCTGCCAGCAGGCCTAGGAGCACGCAGAGGATTGCTGTTCCCTGGTCCTCATTAAGCCCTGAGACGTAAATAACCGCTGACCTCGGAGGGCGGAGGGGACGCCTCCACCTCGTTCCCCTTGCCCTCCTGGGTCCTTGGGGTTCGGAGGATGGCGCCTGGCTGGGAGGCAAAGGTCTGCTTTTCGCAGCTAAGCAAGTGAACCCTGGCTCTCGGGGTCACCCCGCGGGGCCCCGCTGGGGGTCACTCCCCTGGCCCGTCTCTACAGGCCAGGGTTGTGGGAGCGGTGGGGCCCTCTGGCCCAAGGTCCCTCCACCCCCTGCCAGCCCTGAAGCAGCGGGTGCTTAATTATCTGGTCACTCTATCCCTGTTTGGCCAAGCAGCTAAGCCCAAACATCTGGCCCCAGGGCCCAAGGCCAGGAGGGGTGGCCAGCCCCCACCTACTGCTGGCCCTGACGCCAGACACCTCCCACGGGACAGCTGAGCCCAGTGCTGTGCCTGCCAGCTCCAAACAAGCTGAGAGCAGTACCTTGCAGCGGCCTAGCGTGCTCCGCGCGGCAGAAAGCACCCTCGCAGTTGACAAACGTGCATGCGCGCTCTCAGCGAAGTCGGAGCACAGGTGCTCCCTCAATCAGACAGAGCGTGGCACGTTTGACCGAGGCCTGTCACTTCCCCCAGGAGATAGTACTGTCCCCGTTGAAAACTCCAAGGAATAAAGCGGCCCCCGGCCCGTGTAACCGACAGTTCAGCCAGGGTATTGGATCATTGCCCCGAGAACGGGTCCTCCCAGGTCCCTGCACCCGCAGTGCAACCGGGGATGGAGCTGGTCTGAAAAGCAGAATTTCGGCGCCCCCCCAGCCCCCCTGGATCCGGCTCTGCATGTGGACAGCGTGGGCGGGCACCCCTGAGCCACCGCCGATATCCCTTGCCTGTCTGTGCACCAGCACTGAACGCAAGTGAGCTGCCAAAAAGGACACAGTGTTTACAGAGGCCTCACGAGGCTGGCCGTGCTCCTGGGCCTCCGGTAGATGCTGTCCCGCAAGCAGGCTGTGGGGGGCGCTGCCGCAGGCTCCACGCTCTGATCTGTGGCCGCTGCCCTGACCGCCCCTGGATTTCTGACACTGTGTTTTGTAAGTGAAGTTGCTGGGACAGTGAAGTCTGCTCTGAGCACCTGGGGCCGGGGCTCATGCAAGGTCCCGGGACTCCTGGCCTCCTGCCTACAGGCAGGCGCCTCGATTCCCCCACCTGCCTGAGGGCTGGCCAAGAGAGAGCCACACTCAACGACAAATAGAGAGAAAGACAGAGACAGAGAGAGGAAGGGGATAGAGGCACAAAAGTGACAGAGAAAAAGCTTTTTTTTTTTTTTTTTTTGCCATTGTTCTTTTTAAATAAGAAACGCCAGCCCTGGCTAGTGTAGCTCAGTGGACTGAGCACCCACCTATGAACCAAAGGGTCGCTGGTTCGATTCCCAGTCAGGGCACATGCCTGGGTTATAGGCCAGGTCCCCAGTAGGGGGCGCATGAGAGGCAACCACACAACGATGTTTCTCTCCCTCTCTTTCTCCCTCCCTTCCTCTCTCTATACAAGTAAATAAATAAAACCAAAAAAAAAAAAAAAAGGAAAAAGAAACCCCACATTTTCACTTTGCACTAGACACCCACGAATGTAGAAACTGGTGGTGTGTGCAAGTGTGGGGGTCCCCAGCTGGGCGGGCCCCAGAACCCCCTTGGCAGTCACCAGCCCGGTGCATTTTAGGGGTGCTGTGCAGGGAGGGGTGTTGGGCATCAGGCCAGAGCTGGGGCTGCACCCAGACTGATCTCTCTTCCTGGCTTCAGGAGGATCTTTGGAGAGCCGGCTCCCCGCGGGGCGTCTTCTGTCAGCGGGGAGAGCAGCGGTGGGCAGGTCCTGCACGCAGGGCTATGGGAGGGGGGTAGGGTTTTTCTTTTCTTTTCAATGGCAATTAGAGACTCAGAGAGGGGGGGAAACAGTAGGGGAACCTTGGAAATGCCTGTTTTTGTTTGTCTGTTTTAAGCAGGCTCGTTGAGGTGAAATTGACATGCCATGAAATTCACCCTTGTTACGCATCCAATTCAGTGGTTTTTCGTGTGTCCCAAGGATTGTGCAGCACCGCGATGTCCCCGTCGGCCACCTCCCCCGTGTGTCCCCAGCCCCCCCACCCCGACAGTCACTGATACCCCTTTACAGGGTTGCCTGTTCTGGGCCTTTCCTGTAAGCGGAGCCGTGCATCACACTGTCTCCGGTGATGGCTTCTTTCCCTTCAAGATGTTTCCAAGGTTCGCCCGTGACTCAGCTCCTGTCAGGGCTTTTCCTATGGGTGAGGTATGTTCCACTGTGCGGATGGACCGCATTTCATGCATCCGTTCGTCCGTGGATGGACAATTGGGAAGTTTCCAGCGGCTGGCTCTTGTGAATAATGTTGCTACGAACACTGTTACGTTCACCAGGTGCATGTTTTCATTTCTGCAGGCAGAGCCCAGGAGCGGAATCGCTGGGCCACGTGGTAACGCCGTGTCTACCATGGGCAGGAACTGTGCGCCGACTCCCCCCACGCCTGCCCCCCTTCCCCGCTCCACCAGCGCCGTGTGGGGGTCCCACCGTCTGCACCCTCGCTGGCGTGCTCGGTCACCTGCCTTTTGATGGTGGCCTTTTCGTGGGTCTTTTGCAGCCCCCACTTTCTGTCTTCATTTAGGTGCCGCGACTCCAGCCTCCTGCCAAGGAGGGGAGTACACTGCATGGACACACACACACACACACACACACACACACACGCTCACACACACACACGCTCACACCGCTGTCACCTACAGCCTCACACATGTGCTCGTTGAGCCACACACGCTTCCGTCCATCCAAAGCTCACGCGGTCTCATGTTCTCACACGCAAGTGCACACTCACTGTCTTGCTCATGCTCACACACACTCCTTCACCTCCACGCTCTCCTATCCACACGCTGTCACACACGGCCGCCCTCCCCCACGCGCACACACTCCTGCTCACTCAGCCCTACGCATTCGCTCACACTCTTACACTCTCACACACACTCTTGCCTGTACGCTCACTTCCACACTCTTACAGCGGACTCCCTGTCACGCACACGGACACACGCGTGCTCGTGGTGACACACACTCATGCGCTCGTGTGCCCAGCCCGTCCCCTGCATGATGGCAACAGGACACCCCTACCGTTCACGGGCCGAGGCCCGGACAGGAGCCGGCCCAGGTTCAAGCGCCACCTCTGCCCTGACCTGCTGCCGCCTTGGCAGCGCTGGGCTGTCACTGCCCGCCTGTGACGAGGGCGGCTCTGAGGGACCCAGCAGGTGTGCCTGCCAGGAAGCTGCTTGAGGGGGAGCTGCTTCGCTTCGTTAGCACCAAGTGCTATGATTAGCATTCGGTATCAATTAGCTAATAATTAATCAGCATCGCCCCGCCCCCTCCCGGCCCTTCCTGGGAATTTCTGTCCTTCCCTGCCCCCTGTGCCCGGCCCATCCCGGTCATTGTCACCTCCCAGTTAATCCTCAGCTGCTGTCACCAATTAACACCGTCTGCAGCCACCCCCTGCCCTCCGCTGGTCCCCACTCAGCTCTCACTCGGCCCCCCCACTCTCCTGGCGCCTCCAGCTTCTTCGGGACACATTCTTGGCCTAATTGCTGGGGCTATTTCAGATTCATGGAGAAGGCGGCAGGAGGCCCTACTCCTGCCCTCCCACACTGTGCCCCCCCATGACCCCGACTCCGGGAAGCTCGCCTGGATTGCCCAGGACAGGGGCCTGTGTCCCCGGCTCTCTGAACTGAGCCCAGGTTCCGAGGGCCCTTGGGGTCACCGCGCACAGGCCGCCACACACTACCCCCAGGCAGCGCCTCGTGTCCGCAGCAGGGGCGGGCCGCGGGGCGTGTGTCCCGGGGCCCGGCCGAGAGTGACACCTGATCCAGCTCGAGTTGTAGCTTTGCGCTGGGCTGGCGGCCAAGCAGGGCACGGAGAGGAAGACAGAGTGTTTGCAAACAGGGCGGCTGCCAAGAGGGGCCGGGAGAGAGGGGAGGGTGTGAAGGGGCAGGGGCCCCGCGGGTGACTGGCAGCGGCGCCGGCCAGGGTGACCTTCCTGCCCCTGCCACACACGCACTCGAGACCTCGTGGACACAGGGAGACGGATCCGGTGTCCACACAGGGGGCCGTACTCCAGCTCCCATTCTGTCCCCGCGTACACATTGACACCGTCACCGCAGACACACGGGGGCTCAGACGCACGTGCACGCGCAGGCACGCGGAAGTGCTTGCTCCGGGCCAGCTCCGGGGCCTTCAGGCTCCCTTCAGTGCGCCCCTCCGCCCACCCACGGGCCTGCAGAAATGGGCCCGGACGACCCCCACGGGGCAGCCTCGCCCACACACGTACAGCCAGAGCCAGCCCCCCGCACCAGCTCACGCAGGCAAAGGGAGGCTGTTTCTGCCCTGCTCTCTGTCTCGGTCTGTCTGTCTCTTTCTCTTTCTGTCTCTTTCTCTTTCTGTCTCTTTTCTTTCTGTCTCTCTTTTTCTCTCTCTTTCTCTTTCTCTTTCTGTCTCTCTTTTTCTCTCTTTCTCTTTCTGTCTCTCTCTTTCTGTCTCTTTCTCTTTCTGTCTCTTTTCTTTCTGTCTCTCTTTTTCTCTCTCTTTCTCTTTCTGTCTCTCTTTTTCTCTCTTTCTCTTTCTGTCTCTCTCTTTCTCTTTCTGTCTCTCTCTTTCTGTCTCTTTCTCTTTCTGTCTCTCTTTCTGTCTCTTTCTCTTTCTGTCTCTCTCTCTTTCTGTCTCTTTCTCTTTCTGTCTCTCTTTCTGTCTCTTTCTCTTTCTGTCTATGTCTCTTTCCCTTTCTGTCTCTGTCTGTGTGTCTGTCTGGCTCTTTCCCTTCCTCTCTCTCTGTCTCCGTCCCTCTGGTCTCTCCCTCGTGCAGATGCTCTCTGGTGCACGCATGCGCACACACGCTCGACGGCCTCCCCTTTCCCAAGCAGACAGACCAGCAGGTGTGAGGAGGTCTCGGTGCCAGATGGGCTTTATTTGCAGAGTGTGGCTGGGCTTAGAGGAGAAAGGCCCTTACCTAGAGGGCGTCGCCCAGCGTCGGGGGGAAGGGAAGAGCTAGGGCGCAAGGGTAGCCCCAGGGAGAGGAGACAGAGACAAGGGAGGGCACGGTGCTGCAAAGCCACGGGGTCTGTTTACCTAACAAGCCTTTGCTGCCCCCCTCCACCCACGGCCAAGGCGGCCCGGGTGGGTCACATCAGAGAACAGGACAGGCCGGGATCCCACTGTCCAGGAGCTCCCACTCCAGCAGGACGCGGGGTAACCCCACAAGTACATCCTGCAGCGCGAGGGGACCGAGCGTCACTGGGGAGACGGCGGGAGCAGCAGCTCCGCATTGGGGCCCCTGTAGGGCCACCCAGGGTTGGGGGGCCCAGGAAGCCTGCGGAGCAAGCATTTCAGGTTTGCAGGAGGTGAGGGCATGAGCCAAGGGCACTGCAGGCTAAGGAGGCGGCAAGTGCCAAGGCCCTGGGGCAGAGAGACACAGGTGGGCGTAGATGTATGGGGACTCCAGAGACCCCACAGGCCCAGGCACGGAGACAGGGAGACAGAGAGAGGGAAGCAATGACACAGGCAGGAGAGAAGCCAAAAGCCACCACGTGAACACCCTGGAGACCTCAGGATGTGGGGCCCAGTCTCCTGTCCGAGCCTCCCAGGCAAGCGGGGGTGCAGGCCGCCCCAGCCTTCTCATGCCCCATCCTCCTCGTCGACCTCCTCAGCCACCTCTTCCGCCTCCCCCTCCCGCTGCCTCCAGGGCCGGCCCAGGTAGCCGTGGACGGAGCTCACAGGGCTCCTCTTGCGGGGGTGGGGATCCAGCAGCCCCCACAGGAGGGTGTCGGCCACGGGCGTCAGGCCGGCCCAGGGCTGGGGCCGGTCCTCGGGCTGGCCCGAGGCCTGCCAGATGAGGAAGTCCTCGTAGAAGGGGTCGGCCTCGGCCAGGGGCTGGTCCCAGGGGAAGTAGCCGGTGAGGAGGCAGAAGAGCAGGACCCCCAGCGCCCAGGCGTCCAGGGCGGGCTGGATGGGCAGGCCCTCGGGGAGCGGCGGGGGCGCGCAGAGCTCCGGGGCCGTGTAGGGGATGGGCGGCCCGGTCAGGCGGAGCAGGGTGCCGCGGGGCCGCGTGTGGCCGAAGTCGGCGAGCTTCACCCGCTGGCACTCGGGGTCGCACACCAGCACGTTCTCGGGCTTGATGTCCCGGTACACCAGGCCGTGGGAGTGAATGTACGCCAGGGCCGAGGCCAGCTGGGCCGCGCAGCGCTGGGCTGCCGGCTGCGGGAGGCCCACCTGCGGGGCAGGCGCGTCAGGGCCGCTGACCCTCCCCGGCCTGACGACGGGGTACAGCCGCTCCCCGCCCCGGGGAGCCGGCCCGGGAGAACAAAGGGCCTCTAACTCTGGCGTGGCCCGGTGAGGCCCAGCGGGGTCTGGTGGGGGCCAGCGTGACCGCAGCAGCAGGGCTGGCGGATCCAGGGGCCGTAGGGTTGGCTCAGTGGAGTGAGGGACCCCAGAGAGCACTGGCGACGCCCTGAGACCGGTGGGCCCCACGGGGCGTGCTGGGGCCGGGACGGGGTCGGGGGGGGACACCGGAGGCCAGAAGGCCTGCTCAGGCCGACGCAGCGAGCGCGGTCCCTGAGTCCCGGCGGCTCAGAGCCATTCCCAGAGGCCTAGGGAGGCGCCTGGGGGCCCGCTGGGGGGCTGCGAACCCACCTTGGGCTGGATGAGGGCGATGAGGTCCCCGTGCAGGACGGGCTCCGTCAGGAAGCTGTAGGAGTCGGCGGACTCGATGGCGATGCCGTAGGCCGCCACCACGGCCGGGTGCGCGCCCAGCGAGAGGCCCACACAGAACTCGTACAGGAAGCCGCGGAGGGACGTGGAGGCCTTCGGGAGCTGCTTCAGCGCCATGGGAGTACCTGGGGCAGCGGGGACAGGTGTGGAGACGCCCTTGCTGGCCCGTTCCCCCCCTCCCCCCAGGAAGAGTCTTTTCCAAGTCCCCTCTCCACCTCCTCCAATTCCTGCTCCCTCCCACGCCTGCCCCAAATAATAACGATAGCATTGAACAGCAGTAGCATCTGAGTTTCTGCTCTGCTCTCTTCAAGTCCACCGACTGGGAGCCGACGAAGGGATGCCGTGGAAGCTGAACTCGGAACCTCCGGGGACCTACGGTGGCCCCTGGGCCCAGCTACCCCCAGCCGAAAAGCCCTGTTGGAAGCAGTGGGGGAGGGTGCCTAGCACTGGGTGTTAGATCCCATGAAGGAATCTTCAGGAATTCCATCCCACAGGGAAACGGCTTCCTGAGATCTGCGTCTCCAGGACCGGAAGTCTGCTCTCTCTGCCACTTCATCACCCCCCACCCGCCAGGGCGCAGCCTCAGCCCCTGGGGGGCCGTGCGTGCGGGAGGGAGGCCACCTGCTCCCCTAAAATGCTGGCCCGCCCCCTTCCACTCTCGCCACAGCTGGATGCAGCAGCTGGGTGCGTCTGCCACACCCGTGGCCCTTCTGTTCGGCTGAGCTGCGCCTGCCCAGCCGGCCTGTTGTCCAAGACAGCAACGGCTCCTCCGCAGCCCAGCCCAGCCGGGGGCGGCTCCGGGAGGAAGCCTCCTCGCATCCCCTATGCCCTGTCACCGCTCCGCCTCCGAGTCCTGCGATGACCCGGGTCCGGGTGTGTTTCTTTCTTTGTTCTGGGCTGAATCGTGTCCCCTCAAATTCACGTGTCGAAGCCCTCACCCCTGATGTCGCAGAAGGTGACTGTATTGGGAGAGGGGGTCTTCAAAGAGGTAAAATGAAGCATTGGGTGGTCCCTAGTCCGATCGGAGGACATTAGGGCACAGGCGCACACAGAGACGGCCGTGCGAGGACACACGAGGAGGCGGCCCTGTTACACCGTGACCTCCGACCTCCAGCCTCCAGGACTGGGAGGAAATAGATTTCTGCTCGCCACGCCGCCCTGTTCCCAGCCCTGTGGCAGCCCCCGGGAGCTGCAGGCGGGCCCACAGGCCCCTGTCTGGGTCCCCAGCGCCACCCAGGATGGGCTGAGCCCTCAGGGGACCGCGGTAGGCGAGGCTGGACTGACGCCTCCACTGAGAGCCACCCGCAGTGCCCGAGCGTCATGGGGGAGACGGAAGACGCCAGATTGGGGCCGGGTGTCCCGCCTTGCTAGGCGCCCAGCGCACAGCCCGGCTCTGAACCACCCTCAGGGTGGCTGCTGAGCCGGCCACGTGTGAGGGCGCGGGGTGGGGGCCCTCTGCTCCCCGTGCTCCCGGCAACGACAGCCGCGGCTGCGCTCAGAGAGGGCGTCCGTCCCAAGAACACACAGCCGGAGGCAGAGGCAAGGCTGTCTCCGGCCTGCAGGCGCCGCAGCCTGGGCTGGTCTCACCCGGCCCGTGCCCCACCCCCGCGCCCCGCCTCTGTCCCCAACCCCGGTACCTTTCTGACGGTGGGTGACCAGCAGGACCTGGCCGAAGCGGCCCCGGCCCAGGGGACGCACTTGCTGGTACAGCTCGTCCACCTCGGCTCGGACCAGGGTCTGGGCACTCAGGGCCAGCATGTCCTCCAGGGCCAGCGCCGCCTCCTGGCCCTGCCGCAGCTCCTCCGCCGTGAGGCCCCCCAGGTCCTCCTCAGCTCCGTTCTCGGCGGCCCCCTCCTCTGCCTGCCGCCCCTCTGGCCGTTTGCTCTGCATGTCTGCAGGGCAGAGCACAGGGGGTGGCCACACCCGGGCCTGAGCGGGAAGGGGGGGCTGGACTCCTGCGCCTGAGGGGGAGGGGCTGGGGCTGTGACACTGGGACCCAAGGTGTCTCGGGGGCTCGGGGGCTGCTCCCAGAGGCGTGCCCCTGCCTGGGACCCAGGCGTCCCCGGGGCCCTGGTGTGCGCAGCCCCGCCGGCCCGGCCCCTGGGGGCAGAGAGCACCTGTTTGTGCGCTTCGCAGACAGAGGCTGCTCATCCACCCCCTGGGCCCAAGTCTGTTTGCTTTGGAAACAAGATGGGGGTGTCTCGAGTTATCTGGTTCATCTTTCACCCTTGGGCCATCGGGTGACTGTGGGGGCGGGGGCGAGGGACATCTGTGATCGCAGGCCTGACCTCACCCCAACTCGCGCCTCGTTTCCCGCGCCTCGGAGGCCTCCGAGGAAGAGGGAGACGGACGCACATCGGAAAGTGCCAACGAGCCCCCGATGGTCCTCCCTCCGACCCAGGAGCCCGGGCTCCCGGTTGCTCCTCCCGCGGACCCGGGAGCCCAGGCCCCCAGCCTGTCTTCACTCCGATCCTGGGGTCAGGGCCCCTGGCCCCGTCTCTCCTGTACCCTACACAGCTCACACATCTTGGGACCCCAAACTCTGTGTCCCTAACGCTCAACCGCGCTAGAGCCTTAACATTCAGCTCCTGCTCCCCTGAGGGACCCAGGGCTCAGACCACCTGCCTGGCTTCCCTCTCAGGTGCCGCCCCCTTCAGCCCCTTTAACCCTTGCTCCCTCCTGACCTGGGCTCTGACCTCCGGACCTCACCTTCTCCAAGGCTTGCCTGACCCTTCGGCTGCCGGCTGTGGTCAGTGTCCAGTGCGTAGAGCCCATGCCAGCAGAGGCCTGCCCAGGAGCAAGACCCCGCCCCCACCTAGGGGTCCTAATCCCGCCCCTGGCCCCGCCCCCTCCACCCCACTAGGGACAGAGCGACATCGTGTGTTGACTACCAGAAATGGCTGTGGCCGGACAAATGTCCCCGGCCTAGGAGCTCAGTGTCTCATCCACCCATCCCTGACCTCCGGCCTCCTCCTCCCTCAGACCCAGGAGTCCAGGCCCCCAGCCCCTCCCCTCTCGGACCCAGGAGGCCGGACCACCTGTAGAGAATGAGGTCATCTCTCCCCGGAGCCCCGGCCTTGTGCCCCTCAGCTGCCCATCAGTGCCCCACTGACAGGTCGGACGCAAGTGTTGCTGAGGGGTGTCCTGGGGAGAGACACTGGGTTCCCTTTGGGGAAAGGATGAGACAACGGGATTCCAGAACGATGCGGTGAGAGATGACCTCAGACTTGGGGCCGAGGGGAAGCAGGTGCTGGACAACTGGGAAGACAAGGGGCCTGGGGGGAGGGGGGCGGGGGTCCGAGTCCGAGCCTGCAGGCCTCCCGGGTGGGGCGAAGCTGCGCAGGGACCCGGCCTGAGCGAGGAAGCTGCACCCGCTGCTCAGGTTTAGAGCGACATGGCAGATGGGAACTCAGTTCTTTTTCAATCAGCTTTTACTTTGGAATAACTTGAGATCTTGAGAACAGTTGCGCGGAGCACTCCCGCGCCCCTTGGCCCACCCCCGCGCGGGGCCAGGGACTGTCAGCCAAGGGCGCCTGTGTCCGAGCTCAGAAGTTCACCATCAAACGCGTCTTATCTCCCGGGTGTGTCTGCCAACAACCTCGTTCTGCCCCAGGGTTCAACCCAGGACGCGCATTGCGCTGAGTGAACGCACTTTCTTTCTTTCTTTCTTTTTTTAAACAAAAGCACTCAGGGCAGTGTCCCAGGAGGAAGCACAGTCCCCGCCAGCGCCCTCCGCACGCGGCAGGACGGCCGTGTTGGGTGCCGCCGGTGGCTGGAGATCCATCCAAGCCAGCCTGGCCCTGAGCCGGGGCGGCCACCCGCCACGCGCTCTGCGCTGTCAGTGTGGGGGCCGGAGCGAGCGGGCGTAGGGACGGGAGACCGAGTCCAGGTCCGGAGCACCTGAGCGGAGCCCGGAGAGAACGGAGGCCCGGCCGGCGCTCGGGTGCAGTTCCCGGCGGGGCCGCAGAGGGCGCCGGCGGGCGCTTCTGGAGGCAGGAGCCCCGCGGGCGCGGGAAGCTGCGCGTGTGCGTGCACGCGTGCCCTTGTGTGTGCGGGCAGGCTCGGGCCCCCGCAGGACTGGAGGCGCGGGAGAGGCGAGCGGAGGTTGAGGTTTCCGTGGCGTCGGACCCTGCAAGCCCAGATTTGGTGCCGTGAACAGTGGGAGTCATGCGAGGTCTTAGAGGGGAGGAGGGACCTCCTCGGAACTCTTCCGTCCCCACATTCAGCGCGTCCCCGCAGCGCAGAAACGCCTCTACAGGGGAAGCAGCGCCTTGGTTCAAGCAGACACATTCAGGACAGAAGGAAAAGGCAGGGTGCTCGAGGGAGGAGGGGCTGGGGGCCTGGACCCCTGGGTCTGAGAGAGGAGGGGACGAGGGTCCCGGGCCCCCAGGGCCTCAGCGGGGAGGGGACTAGTGCACCCAAGTCCAGCCTCCAGCAGGGAGAGACGCAATGTGTCCCCTCCCCGTCCTCGCCCGAGCAGCTGTCTCTCCATCCAGGTGGCCATGGAGGCCGGGGGAGGGGCCTTTGGCTCAGGCTCCGGCCACCTGTCTCAGTCACCTGGTCTGGGAGTTCCCCCATCTGTCCCCATCCTCCCGCCACCTTGGTGCCCCTCCTCCTCCTCCTCCTCTTCCTCCTGCTCTTCCTCCGTCCACTCCTCCAGGCTTGACCCCCCCTCCTCCTCCTCCTCGTCCTTGCCGGCCACACTCCCTGAGCCCCCAGGTGCCCCCCTGTCCCCCTGCAGCCCCCAGCAGTCCCCCAGGAAGTCCAGGACAGCCAGCGGGGAGCCCCTCGTCTCAGGGTCCAGGTCCAGAAGCCCCTGCAGCAGGGCCAGGGCCGGGGGCGCAAACTGGCCCCAGGGGGGCGGCGGCTGAGGCGGCCGGGGCCTGGTGGTCATCCAGCCGGCGAAGGCCTCGAACTCAGGGTCGGAGGCCAGGGCCACGTCCCAAGGGAAACAGGCCGTGGCGGCGCAGAAGAGAAGCACCCCCAGGCCCCAGGAGTCCAAGGACGGCCGCAGGGGCAGCGTATCGGGTGGCAGCAGGAGACAGAGCTCCGGCGGGGCCGAGGGCAGCGGCCCCGGCGGGGGCGGGGTCGGGCTGCCCTCCGGCCGCGTCAGGCCCAGGTCTCCCAGGGCCACGCGGCTGCAGTCGGGGTCGAAGACCAGCACGTTGTCTGGCTTCACGTCTGCGTGGACCAGCCCCCGGCTATGCAGGAAGTCCAGGGCGCCGGCCAGCTGGGCCATCACCCGCTTCACCAGCAGCTCCGGGAGGCCCTGGGGTCAAGGAGAGAAGGGGAAGGGCAGGGTGGCTTGGTTCCTTCTTTATGTTTTGCTTCTTGGGGCTCAAGAACCCAGAACCCCAGACCACTGGCTACCTCGTGTCCCTGTAACTTCCCTCCAGCACCTTCTCCAGATCACCCGCAGCTGCCACGGGAGCCTCAGCTGCAACGGGAGCCGCAGCGGCAACAGGCACCGCAGCTGGGCTGCCCGAGGCCAGAGCCCATATCTAACCAGAGGCTCTCGGCTTCCAGCAGACTTGCTCCTGACCCTAACGCTTGAAACCGTTCCTTACCATCTCTTACTCATCTCCTCTAAACTGAATCCTCAGACCCTCTCCAATGGGAACACAACCCCCTAGTTTATTTATTTTGTATTGTATTTATTGTTGAGGCAGAGGGGAAGCGGGGGAGGAGGAGAGAGAGGGAAACATCAGTATGTGAGAGAGACATCTGTTTGTTGCCTCTTGCACGTCCCCAACTGGGAACCCGGCCCACAGCCCAGGCGTGTGTCCTGACTGGGAATCGAACCTGTGACCCCTCAGGTCACAGGCCAGCGCTCAAGCCAGTGAGCCACACCAGCCAGGGCAGACCCCATACTTTATACTTAATCCCATACTAATTTAGATCCCATCTTCAGCTCAGACCTGGCTCTAATTCCCACAGTTCACTCCATCAATCGATCCACACACACGTCTATCCGCGCGGCCGGCCAGCCAGCGGCCCATCCATCACTCCGTTCTCCATCCAACAGTCTCTTCTGCAGTGTTTCCACTCCACATCCATCCCACCAGCCACGCAGCAACCTCATCATTTATGCAACTATTTAACATCCAAAATCCATCCATTTGTCCTTCCTTCCTTCCTTCCTTCCTTCCTTCCTTCCTTCCTTCCTTCCACCCGTCCTCCTATCTTTCCTTTCCTCCTCCCGATTAGTCCCAACCCTACCTCAAACGCAAAACCTATTCCCAAAGATGGTCCCGCCCTCATCTTCCTACTCAGACGCTCCTAGAAGCTCATGGCTGTAGCTGAGCTGGTCTCCTTCCTAGAGGACGCCTCGCCACGGCCCACCTCCAGCGGGACCCGCACGCACATCCTGGCTCTCCCTGCCTCACCCTGCCCCCCATCCCCGCTCTTCAGGCTGGTCCAGATCTGCAATCAACCCTCAGCCCGGCTGGTCTGCTCCCTCCGTGCCCCTCCCACTCCCAGCGTTAAGAAGAAGCCCCGCTGGGTCTCAGTCCCCACCCCGTCATCGGACCTAACCCTCCCTCCACCCCATCCCCAAGCCGCTGCCCACCCGAGCCTGGGCTTGGATTAATTAGGATTAGGGTCAGGCAGGAAATCGCACCGAGAATTAGAAATAGGGAGGCCGTCTGGGGGCTGAGGGCGGAGCTGGGCCGGGCGCTGGTTTGGGGGTCGGGGTTGGAGATGGGAATGGGGTTTGGGACGAAGCCGCTCCGGGCGTAGGCAGCCCGCCCTCTGGGCCCGCCTGCCTCACCCGCTCCTGCAGTATCCCGCTGAGGTCCCCGCAGGGCGCGTACTCCTGGGCGAAGGCAAAGTGCCGGGGGGTCTGCAGGGGCCCCGCCAGGGTCTGGAGCAGGCCCGGGTGCGCGGAGACGCAGCGGCCCACGCAGAACTCCCTCAGGAACGTGCTCCTCAGGACCGAGTCCCTGCGTAGCAGCTTCAGAGCCACGGCCGGACCTGCCGGGGGGGACGGGGGCCGAGGGGACTCAGGCCGGTCTCCGAGGCCCTCTGTGTGGGGGCTCTGTTTCTCGGAAGACCACAGGGCTTTTAACTTTCTGAGAGCCCCGGTCCCACGGCGTCCCCATCAGCAACCCCTGCCCGTGGCGCTCCCTGTCCGGGCAGCCTCGGCGACCCCTCCTCGGGGGCCCGCGGATGCGCCTTCCGCTGGCCAGACTCACCCCCCTGGCGAGGCTGAGCGAGCAGGACGCGGCCGTAGGAGCCCGAGCCAAGCTTTCGGAGGAGGCGATACCGGGCGCGCAGGTTCCTCTCTGTGGCCACGCGGGGGGCTGTCAGCTCCACGAGCCGCTGCAGGGCCGCGGCGGTGTCCTCCTGCAGGGGAGGGACACGGGTGGGGAGGCCGAGCCTGGGGCCCGCTGCGGGCAGAGGGGAGGCCGGCTCCAGGCCTGATGTGGGGGGTCGGGCGGTGGGGTCACTGTCCCCAGAGAGGAGGATGAGTCACAGTGACTCACCCAGCCTCAGGCCACCTGCTTTCGTGTCCTGGCAGGGTTAGGGGCCGTTGCCTCAGAGACCCCCCACCCCCGCCGCCATCTGTGGAGCCCAGCTTCAGCGGGGGCTGCGTCTTCCCACACCCCCCGCGCCGCCTGCCTGTCTCCGTTCTCCTCTCACGCTGAGCAGCCCGTTCTCGGTCCCGGGCCCACTCCTCTGGCGCCGTGGCCTTGCTGTGTGTCCCCGGGTTTGTCTCATTCTGGATCTCCGATGTTTCTTTGTTTGCCTGTCGTCTCTTCCGTGCCTCCCCGGCCCCTCCGGGCCTGCTCCCTGCCCTCACCCTCTCTCTGCCTCCGTCTCTCCCCGCATCTGCCTCTGGGTCTGTCTCTCTTCCTCCCTCGTGTCCCGCTTCTCACCTCTGGGTCTGGGTCCCCATCCTCATGGCTCTTGGGGTCCCTGAGCTCCATCGCAGGGTGGCCTGGTGTCAGGGCCCCCCCTTGCCTGGGCTCCCCACGGGCTGACCGGCCCACTCAAGCCCGCTGCGCCCCACAGGTCCGAGGTCCAGCGCTCGCTGGGCAGGTCTGCCTCGGTCTCCCCCTGCGTCCGGGGGAGCCTCCCTGGCTCTGCGTCTCTGCCCCTCTGGCGTCTGCGGGTCCGGCTCTGGGTCAGCCTGCGGGTGCCTTTCACGCCTGCTCACCCCTTCTTCCTCGCCCTGACCTCCCCCCACCCTCGCCGTCTCCGCCTGGCCCTCGCTCCAGCTCTCGGGTTTCTGGGGTGGGTCTCCCTGTCCTCGCTCCTGTCACCACGTTGTCTCCACTGTTGTCGCCGCAGTCTGTGGCCCAGGACGTCCACACTCTGCTGTCCCCGCCCCTTCTCTAGGTCTCTGGGTTCCCCTCACTCTGGCTCCTCTGTGGCCTCCTCTCCCCGGTGTCTCTCTGTCTCCTCCTGCCTTTGTTCCTGACTCTCTCACAGCCTTTTGTCCCTCCCTTTTTCTGGGCCTGGGACAGGGGTGTGTGTGACAGCTCAGAGACATCCTGTCCCCCCACACACCCCTCCCTCACCCCCTCTGACCTGCTGCTCCCTTCCTCCCCCTTCCAAACTTAGACCAGCCTGGAGTCTGGGCTCTAGTCCCAGGACAGAGGGGACAAAACATATTGTGAACCCCCAGGGAGCAGGCCTGAGGGCTGCAGGAAAAGGGGAGACAGGCCCCTTCCCCAACCTTACCTGGAGGGGGTGACACAGAGCTCCATGCATTCCGCTTCCTTCCTGGGCAGGGAGTGCTGGCCGGGGGGCCAGGGAGGCCATTCCCAAAGCCCGGGACGGTGACACGGAGGGCCCAGGACTTCAGCCCCGCCTCCCTCAGACCCAGGGGTCCCGGCCCCTGGCCCCTCCTCCCTCAGCCCCCCAGCCCCTCCTCCCTCAGCCCCTCAGTCCCTCCTCCCTCAGACCCAGGGGTCCAGGTCCCTGGCCCCTCCTCCTTCAGACCCAGGGGTCCAGGTCCCCGGCCCCTCCTCCTTCAGACCCAGGGGTCCGGGCCCCCGGCCCCTCCTCCCTCAGACCCCCCCAGACCCTCCTCCCTTAGACCCAGGGGTCCCGGCCCCCAGCCCCTCCTCCTTCAGACCCAGGGGCTCAGAGCTCAGGTGTGGGGAAAGGGTGACTCCCCTGTTCTCAGCACCTGCTCTGAGCCAGGCTTTGAAGGGGGCGGTTCTTTACACGGGATCCTCCCAGCCACCCACCAAGACGGGGATTTATCCCCAGTTTACAGAGCAGGAAACTGAGGTTCCGAGAGCCCGATCGCCTTACTCGGGCCGGAGGTGTCAGCGGGCAGGGGGCCAGGCTGACTCAGGGCACTGAGGCCGGCGGCTCGGATTTCACCACTACTACAGCCTGCTATTAATAAAGACAGCAGCAGCCGTCACCGACACTCTGGAAGGGTCCCCGGAAACTGGCCGCGGTGTTGCCCCGGGCCCTGCGCGGTGGGGGTAGTAGCAGGGGGTGTGGGCAGAGGGAAAATTTCCTTTGCTCTTTGAGGTGTGATTGTGCACAACTGCCAACACACAGAAAAGTAAGAAGAGCCACGGTGGACAGCCTTCGGCCACCAACTGACCCCCGCCAGCGAGAACGTCACGCCCGCCGCCCTTGCATTATCTGTTTTCTCAGCGGGGAGAGAGTGGGAGGGATCAAATATTTTAAAGTAAGTTACAGCCAATGGAAAAACTCCGGAGTGAAATGACATGCTGCCCACTGCGTGCTTGCAAACACTCCGGCACCAGGAACGCGCGCGTGCGTGGGGACGTAGTGACGGGCACACACTTGTGGATACTTGAGAACAAAGGATTCCCTCCTCCTTATTTTTGGTTCTGCTGAAAACGTTTCCCTCATTAGAAAGCTCGAAGCGATCAAAGTAAGCTGCAGACATCCTCATACAATGGGGCCCCAGCTCTGCGGTTTACGGCTTTATAAAAAGTTAGGGCGTCCTGGCCGGGTGGCCCCGTGGGTGGGTGCGGCGTCCCCCGAACTGACAGGTGCAGGCTGGGCCCCCTGTGGGGACCTGCGGGGCCCGTGGGAGGCAACCAATCAGCGCTTCGTTTTCACAGCGGTGTCTCTCCCCTCCCCCACACCCCCTCAAATCGGTAAACGTATTCTCAGGTTAGGACCAAATATAAAAAAATTAGGGTAATTTCCGGCTGGACTACGATACTGAGAATCCCAAGGCAGGGCCTTAACAGTTCCTTAAAGTCAACTGCTCCCCAGCCCATAGCCAATGTCCCTCAGTGTCCCCGAGCTGAGTGGGGTCAGTATCCACAGTCCCCGCGCAGCTTTGGGGGACCCTGAATCACCTTGGCGTCTGGATGTTCCTCCCGGCATCTGCTGCCTGTTCGCACAGAAAACCAATGAAATAATGCCGCGATGCCTAGTCCCTGCTGTCAGGTGCCAGGCGCTGGCTCGTTGTTGTTGCCGTGGTTGTTCTAAATTCATTTATGACCTTGCGGGGTCCCCCCTGCAAGCCCTGCCCTGGGGGAACGACAGTGCCCAGTTTACTGGTGGGGACAGCGAGGCACGGAGAGGCAGAGGCGTCGGGCGGCAGGCCCGGGGAGGCGGAGCCGGGGCCAGGCCCCGTGACCCGACCGCGACTGACTGGAGGCGAGCGCCTCCCTCGGGGCCCGCCGGCAACGGCGCAGCGTCGGCGCAGCCGCTCGGCTCGCCGGCCGGAGTCCGAAGGTCAGGGCGCGGCGCGGCCACCTGGGACCCCAGCAGAGGGTTGGCGGCGCGGCGCGGGCCGGGGCCCTCCGGAGCCCGCCCTGCGCACACACCCACCACGGCGAGGCTCCCTGATGATCCCGGGAGCTTTGCACCTCCCCATTTAGCAACGGCCACTCTGCGGGGTCACCCGGAGTGACCTGCGGAGGCAGGTGTCCAGCCGCGGCCTCAGCACGCACGCACCGCTCTCTGCAGCTGGCCCCTCCGCCTCCCGCCGCCGGCCCAAGGGCTCCTTCCGTGACCGCTCCTGGCCGTCCCGGCCAAGGTCCCGCCGCCTGCGTGCCTCAGTTTCCCCCTTACCAACTGGGGGCCGCTGCCGCGCCTACCCAGAGCATTGCTGTTCAAGAGACATCCACACCTACCGTGCACTATGCACCTCGTTTCCTTGTGCTTCACACGCGTGGCGTTTTTTATAAATTGAAGGCAAGACCTTCCCGTAGCAAAAAGTACAATTGCCTTTATTGCCATGGCGTGGGACCCTAATGTCTCCGAGGTATGCTTGCGTATAATATATTGAGATAATAATAATAAATGTGATCTACATGACCTTGTAAAATCATACATTATATAGTATATATGGGAGAGTATATACAGGGAGGGGCAAAGGTAGGTTTGCAGTTGTTTGTATGGAAAATAATATAATAATTAATAAATAATACAAGAATAAACTGTGTTTAGCCCTGGCTGGTGTGGCTCAGTGGATTGAGCACTGGCCTGCGAACCAAAGGGCCGCTGGTTCGATTCCCACTCAGGGCACAGGGTGCGGGCCAGGTCCCCAGTGGGGGGCACTTGGAAGGCAACCGCACACTGATGTTTCTCTCCCTCTCTTTCTCCCTCCCTTCCCCTCTTTCTAAAAAGAAATAAATAAAATCTTTAAAAAAAGAATAAATGGTGTTTCACATACAACTGTAAACCTACCTTTGCCCCGCCCTCCTCATACTTATATTTCTCAATATAAAATGTAAAAAATGTATTTTATATATTATTCACCTATATTTTATAGTTTTTCACATAAATTTAATGAATGAAATATACACTGGAAGACCACATAACAATTTAACTCACATGTCAAAGGCTGTGCCATCCTCGGGCCAGAAAAGATAAAAACAAGAGAAAGCAGCAGAAAAAGGCCCGGGGTTGTCGCGTGTGTCCCCGGGGGTGTCGTCTGCCGCGTAATGACTACACATGGTGTCAGCTGGGGACGTGGCTTGTCGGGGCGGCCACTTAATAAGTTGTATAAATGCCTAACCCCTCTGCTGTACACCTGAAACTAATAGAATATTGACTGTCAACTGTAATTGGGGGGAAAAATGGTAACGTGGAAAACGCGGAAAGAAAGCAGTAACATGAAATTGATTTGTTTTGCCTGGAAAGACAAAGATTGTCCGTTAGCCCACGGGAGCCCTGGGGGGGCAGGGGTTTTCTCTTGTCGCATGGGGTGTCCGGGGCCCAGATTTACATTGAGGAAGTGCTGTTAAATAAGATAATAGGTGAACGTTCTAAACTCAGCCCCTGGAAGAGAGAGCGCTCCAGGGCCTACACCATTGTTACAAATACCCCTCCGGCCCTGACGGCGGGGCGGGCGCACCTGCACCGGACGCTCGTTTAACCCTCGCCCTCTACCTGCGACGCAGAGACGGCTCCTTTCCAAGGCAGACAGGCCACAGGTCCCCCCTCCGTGTCCCTGCCCAGGCCACACAGAGCCTTGCTATGGTTCCCGTGCAACGGACTATTCCAGGCAAACACACGCCAAAAATATCCCGAATAACAGAACGAGCCCATCCAGTTGAAGAAAGATAACTTTTCCAATAGAATCAGACCCCTCTTTCAGTCCCTTTCCCTCCCAGAAGTAACCTCTGTCCCTCAGGAGGGGTCTGCAACTTTCAACAATGCTCTTGCTACATATGCATAAGCCCATAGCGCTATAGAGAGTATCGCCTTGCGCGTTGTTAAATGTTGTATAAATAGTATCAGGCCCGTGACCTTCTGCAGCTGCCTTTGTCCTCATCAGCGCAACACTGTGTGTGTGAGTGTCTTCCGCGTTGCGACATGAAGCTCAAGTTCTCTCCTTTGCAAAGATGTTGGCTGTTCCAGCGTGTGGACATGCTGTATTTTACGACTCCATCCTTCTGCTGATGAACATTTTGTTTGTCTCCAACGTTGCGCTCTCCCAAGCCGGGGTGCGAAGGCTCTTCTTACACGTGCTGACTTGTGCTAAGTGCACGCCCTCTCCCGGCCGTGGCCCCCACGTGGAATTCCTGGGTCGGAGAGAGAACCGGCGCCTTCCTTGGCTACTGCCGCACAGCGCTCTGCGGCGGTTATATCCGGCATGGACTTTTTGTTTTTCAAGTTCAAAGGTCCCTTTCAGGATCGGAAGAAGGCTAAGAGGCAGAAGGTGTCCGATACAGAAGCCTCTCGCCAGGCGTGGCGGTAGCCCGGGGCACGGGGCAGGTCCTGATCGAGACTTGAGCATAAAGGACACAAAGGATTTCAGCAA